ATATATATATATATATATATATATATATATATATATATATGTATATACTAGTTTACTGAGGTCCATTATGTTCTTAGAACATTCAGCATCGCTATGATTTTCCTTTCTTATAGGTGTATGGATCGCTTCATGGAAACGTATAACTTGGTCTCACAAACATTACAAAAACGTGTTCAAGAAGAAATAGCCACTTCCACACGAATGACGTAATGCAACACGATTTCCTTAGCGATAATCTATGTTTATTGTAGCATTTCTTATTTCTTATTGTTTAAATGTTACGTTTGAGATTATTTACAAATTCGAAAGCATCCAGTGAATTATTTGACAAATAGAAGACAAGTATACTTTTGATATCATATGCTGACTATGAAGATGTGTCTCTTTACTAGTCGATGGTGGTTTTTTCTACTTCGCTCTCATGGATTTTGTTCATCTTCTATTTCGTCGTACAGATTATTACATTAAGAATTTATATAAAAGGTAAAAACCATGCTAATTCGTTGCAACAGTTTAATTATATTGTTTATAACTTGTTATCATTATATCCCATTCGCTCCAATTGCTTTCACGTTCGGATGTTATCTTAAATTGTAAAGATCTTAATTGCACATCTTTGCGCTGCTGTGTAACAACTGCAACTTAAAATGTTTTCTCGTAGAAACTTTACCACTTTATCAAACTTCACAACAACTGAGGCAAACAAGAAAACAAAAGACAGGACACCCGTGAATTTCATTTCGTCGTTATACAGTCAAGATCTAACACTTGCAATTTAGAGGGAGAACAAAAAACCAGTTTCTTGACCACCTGGGTTTTGGTGCCTCTTTCGGAATCTAACTTCATTTAAAATCTTTGGATTTCCTCTTTCTTTTCCGATTGGCGAACTTGTTTGTTTCTTTAAGTAATTCATGGTCAACACTTTTGGATTCGGTCCTGAAATAATTCATCACAGAAACATTGGTAATTAAGGTCCTGGAGTCTCTCAATATATTATAATGGTTCTTGAAATAGCCATAAATCCGTGGAAGACTCGAATATAATGCTCCCAATGAAAATTGATTTTGCAGCAATGAATTTTCTCCCTACTTACAATTCAAAAATCTCTCGAATTTACCTTGATGATTTAACTGATAAGATGGTGCCAATTTTTTTGGATGTCTTTAAATTGGTACTCTGTAAAGCACTCATCCAATCATCTTCACTTCCCTTGATTGCATACTGCTTCAATTCCCGACCTATTTCTTCTTTCATTCTCACTCGATCTCTATCTTGTCTTTTTCTGATTTCTACAGCCATCTCGTGAAGCTCATCCTATACACAGTAAAATTATGCATCCATAAAACTATTCCAGGACAAAGATGATAATCCTTTTAATATTCCCAAGGTGATTTCCGAACTATAATATAATGAATTTTTTTTTTTGGAATTTTGCAGTATATATGAGAACACGACCTCAGAGCCTCAAAAGATAAGATGACATCACTTTTCTATTTTAATCATTGACTTTATAATATGAGGAACTGAACGAATAAAACTTACATCAAGAGAGATTGGAACAGGCTGCATTGAACCAACATCAACTGAACGCTCACTGATTTCCTGACCATCAATTTCTTGCCGTAGGGCATCCATACAAAGCTGATCGAGGTATTCAGAAAGTTTTCGAATAGTTTTGTTGAATAAAGCTAACAACTGATTAGCAGGTAGCTCAAGTTCTGTTGCCAAAATATCCACCGTTTTATGTTGCAGTCCAATACCTAACAAAATTGCAGCTTGTACACTGCTTAGTTTCACCTGAAATGAAATCGATTAAAATCAATCAGTGTGGGAAGGAAGCAGCAAAATGTACGCGGTCAGAATATTTTACTGCCTCTACCAGTACTCCATGTTTCTGCTCTTCCCTTTTTTCCTATTCTTGTCAAGAAAAAAGAAAATGTTTACTAAGATTACGGAAAGCTATTCTGATTCCCCCATTTACAATAAAATATAAGAAAATTAATATTCCACCAACTTTCTCATCGAATCGTTCTTCGAAATACAATAAAGCAAGTACTGGTAATATATCAGTGATCAGATGATGATCGATCATGTTCCGTGCATACTGAGATAATCGGCATAAATCACCGTTTGAAAGAAATGATCCAATTTTTTCTCTGGCCCAAACTAAAAAGCAATTTTGCAATTAATCAAAAATTTTTATCCAGTTATAAATCCTTCAACAGACGAGAAGCAATTCTTTCATCTACTTAATCGAAAACTAGTGGTGTTACATCTCACACCATTAGAGAATTTGGTAATTCAAATGATTTAATAATTTACCCTCTCTTTTACATTGCTTTGCGATCTCATTATTTTTCAGCTGAAGAATACTGAGAGCCATCTGCGGCAAAAATTTGTTAAATTCAAATCCAAACAAACGCAAAATTCGACGTCGAAATTCAGTCCAGTATAACGAGAGCCAAGAAGCAGTACCTTCGTTCAAATCTTCCTCATCTATAAAAGTTACTTTTTTTGAATGAAGGAAATGTATTTAGGAACAAAAAAAGGAAATAAGATATACCTTTATTCATATCCTTTAGCATAACGCAAGTATGTTCACCAGTGAGGTCACAAACAGATTGCCTGAGGTAGACCAAGACAAACCCTGCACGCTTCCAGAATTTGAGCAAAGGTAAATTTAACCCAAACGAAACACCTAAAATGAACAAGTAAACTAATATTTAAGCATTCCTTGATGACTGAGCATGGCATCAGAGTCGCAACATTTTAAAATCTGAAATCGAGAACGACATGCAATACCAATATAATCCAATTTCTCAGCACGCCGTTCACTTAAACGATGTAGAAGTGGTGGTAAATCAGCGCGTGGTTCAATAACTTCTTCCAGCAATACCAATGCATCAGGATTCTAAAAAGTATTCATTATTTTCTCACTGTCATCTCGGATGAATTAACAGTCAGTGTAAACCTGATCAGTGAAGGTCTAAGCTAAATGGAATGGTCTGATTACTGGAATCATAATCTGAAACAAAATTACCGTGCTCAATACGAAATTTTAACCAATATCGTTAGTTCTGAATGGCAGGATAGTCCTAACAGTCACTTATTAAGACAGCTGATTACCTCGATGTGTTTAGCATTTGCTTCTATATTAAAATCTGTTCCTTCTTTTAAGCATGGAACTGCCCCATAATAATATTCCAGAAGTAATTCAAGAGCTCGTGAACCATATCCCAGTGCTAAAACACGTGATCGTCAATGCCATATTCCTCACCAATACAAAGAAAATCATGAATATGTGAGAATGAATTAACTAACACTGGAAATCAGGATGTACTGCTATTCTGACAATTCTTGCTCCGCTCAACGTTGGAAATTCTTTATCCTGAAAATCTAACAGTTTTCACAATAAGCGGAAGTGGAACAGGATAACAACCTAAATTTTTAACTTTCATTCCATGAACTAGATGTAATTTGAAAGTTTGAAAACTATTGCAAATTTCGTAACACAAATAAATATTCTTTATACTCATTTAAGGAAACATCATACCATAAACTGCTGCGATACTGTCCACGGCAACAAATCACCCGCTGCTCTTTTTCCTCTTCCCATATTATCGCATACCGTTGCAGAAGATAAGACACCTTCCATCGCTACTTGTATAACTGCCAGAATCTGTATTACACTACATTTGCTTTTTAAGAATTTAAACAATATGAAGCAGAAAAAACTTGTTTATTCGGTTTCAAAATATGCAAGCAAAAAAGAAAACAAGCAATAAACCTCTGGAAGTTGTGCTTGTGTTTCGTTAATTGGTCCCACCAAAACAAATAAATGATGTGCTGGAGCATCCGACAACATCTACAATGAAAAACGTTCGATAGCTGCGAATCGTAATATCAGAATTCAAACCTTGTTGAAATGAATTTAAAAAATAAACTATTTAAGCACTCAAAGAAATCTGGTGAAATCATACCTGCAAATCGTTAGGCGAGTTTTTGTAATGTGCTGACACATATATGGCCATAATACTGTGAAGAAAAGTTTCGGAAGCCTTGTGAAAGGAAAACAAAGTATCGCGATTAACATATAACCTGGACCGAGAAAAAAAAAACATATGGATACTCTATGGAAAATTAAACTCTGAGATTCCATACACGAATGTTTTGGAACTTACAATTGACAGTTTTTGGGTGGTGGCATTCCAGCCACCAGTCGATGTGCACTGCAAGCATTCAAGCATAAAACACGATTTAACCAAGTTTCAATCTAAAACGAAAATTGGTTGAAAATTCTCTTGAATTGGAATTATTCAGATAAAAGCAAGGTTTCTTGAAATATAATATAAAAAAAAACAAATCATCTATAGTGAGTTGGAAAGAAATAGCTGGCTCAGGTAATAACGTGACCAGAATAAGGAGAAAGGACGATGTCATCAGAAAAAAGATGAAAGATGATCTCTATCATCCCGATCCATTCTCCGGAAAAGAAAACAGGATGGTATAAAAGAGTAAATATAATCAAATAATCCATAAAACTTTCCTGGTCTCCTGGCTTGTATCTGATGCTTTCTTCGAGAACCAATTCATGTAATGCACGTCCTAAAAAGTATCCAAATTTGTAATAATACAAAAAGTAAAGTCCGAATTTCATCTCGCACAATCCAAAGTATTCATTAGAAAAAAAACAAACCTTTCATAGCAGTTAGCACTTGTTCATTGTTATCATTTTTCAGCAAACCAGCTGCTTGTTCACGAAGTTGCTGCATCAATTTCAATGAGAGCGATCTCCCAGTTCCTTCATAACCGCTGATCGTTGAGGCGAGAAAAATAAGATATGGTCCTAAAAGTATATAGTCAAAAAGCGCAAATCTTTGAAGAAAATCTTGACATTCATGGTTTTCTAGACGTTTCTGAGAGGCAAAAAGAAATGCTATTTATAGAGTCCTTTATTTTAGATAAATGATTTTTACAAATTTTTTGGATCCTGAAATGATGTAAATAGCTTTCATGAGAAGCAACGTACCTGAAATTAGCTCCTTCAAGATTGGTAATGGAATGGCAGCAGCTTCATCGATTACTACTAGTTCAGCCTGCGATAATTTAACCGAATCTTGAGGATCAATATACTGAAAAAAATTAATCATGGATTTCTGAAACAGATTTTTTATTATTTAGACATAAAGTAACGTGAAGTTGAGAAAGTGATTTTTCAGGAGCAGTTCTTAGCAGTTCCAAACCTGAATGATTTGTCGATGACCTCTGAAAATATTGATTCGGATCAAGGCTTTGTTATATTGTTTATTTGTTGACTGGATCAGTTCAAAATCCGTATGTTCTTCATAATTCATAGCCTCCAAACCTTTGACGACAAATTCAAATAATGTTTTCAGATTATCAGGTGCCGGACTAGTTACAAATATGTTCGCATAGTCAAAACCAACAGCACCTGCTATGGCTAATCCAAGGGCAGCCGATTTACCCCGACCACGAGCTGCAGTTATGCAACATGTTACTTGCAACGTTTTCTCAGTTATTACGTCAAGAAGTCGTAACAAAGTCTGAAATATTAAGGATATGTATAAAATATTAAGAAAAAAACCTTTCAGATAAGGTCTGAAATATTAAGAAAAAAAACTTTCCAGACAAGGTTTGAAAATAACTATATTCGTTTGTTGTACTCTTCCACTTAAATTCGGATGAATGCTGAGTGCAGGAAATCCAAAACTACTCAAAATTTCTGATAAGTAATCCAACGGCGAGATCTGTCAATAAATCAAACTAAGTGGGAAAAACTTGAAAAAGTACACCTTTGCCTGACACAATGTTCTACATTTGTTCAGCAAAAAACTCAATGGTTTAGTTTCGGTTAGTGAATTCTTCAGGGATGCTAATTCCTCTTCTTGCGTGTTAAGCTTGTTCTGCAAAAAAGGTTTCTCAGTTAAAACAGTTATGCTTCATGCTGGTCCAAGTTTTGTATCAACCTCGAAATCATATTCAGGGAACAAAACGAGCAAATACCTTAAAACTTGCAGGGACTTCCTCAATTTTTAAGACATGAGATGATAGTGGTAAAACATTTAAGCGATCGTCCGCAACTACACAACTGCGACAACTTGCCAAAGACAATATAAATCGTTCATTGAAACGGGGAACCACTTCAGAATGAGATTCTGTACGAAAACGACTGTGGACATCCTCAAAATCCCTTTACATTATATATTAAAAACTAAACGCCAAGGAAAAGAGTGAAATCAAATTCCTCTAAAAAAGATAATTTTAATGGCACAAGAAGTGATGTAATGGAAAGTTCTACTTTTTTCAAAAGAAAAAGAAATTACCATGGCCATCGTATATAACTGCTTCAAAGAGTTGACACTCTTTAGTAACAGTACAATCAAGCCACCCCCTTCAACCGTTTCAATAGTTCGAGCTAGAAGATTCGGTGTAATAGCTTCAAAATCCTAAAAAAAATATTAGCAAAACTTCAATTCAAGAAAAAAAACAAACTGCAAAAAAATTTTGATATAGCAAATAGAAAGTACTTTGAAACAGTAATAACGAAAACCTGAAGTATGAGCATTCCAAAAGTACTGCCAAGGATTTTATGTGTTTCAGCATAATAACAGTAACGGATGTGTGTTGAAGAAATGAATAATTCAAATGGATCATTGTCCTAAAACAATTTAGAGTATCCGAGGGTAAGAGAAAATTGTTATCTCGAATAAGTCAAAGTTCCATCCTCCAGTAAAAAAAAAAGTTCAATTTCGAATTCTACTGCTTAAATCTTCAGAGTTCTTCAAAATAGACATGAAACAACCTTTATATCCATACGACCATTTCGTATTTTTTTTTCAACTCTTTCATTCGTTTTTTACGATGTGAAGTAAATCCGAGCTCTTTTTTATAGCACCACAGAACAGAAGGCCTGGCAGCAACCGTTGCTTTTGATAATAAATGGTGAAGGATGACAACCTACAGCGTAAAGAAGATAACATAAACAACTTCGAATTTGAATTAAGGCATGAATGAGATTTTCAGATTGGCGCTTCAAAAACACATTTCCATATGCATTCCCTAAAGAAGAAGGTTACTAAAACTGCTGTAGCTAAATCACTTTTTAACTTTTGCAGAAATGAAAGTTTCCGACAGTAAAAAAATATGATAATAAAAAAAATTATGATAATAAAAAAAAAATGAAACGGGACCTGATCCTTCCCTTTGTCACCAATAATAACAAACAACGAACGATGTCCCGTAGCAACTCCATTTTCAATAAGGATTCTAATCCGATTATCCAACTTCGTTCTTACCATATTTGATAACACCTAAATTTCTTAAGTTAAATACATAAATTTAATCAAGCAAATTAACAGAAAGAAATTAAATATAACGTTAACAAATGGAAATAGAACGTAGATGGTAAATGGTATGGACCAGGGAGTAACTTGAATCTAGCAATAACTCGTCACACCACATCAAAACCTCATTAGAAATATTTCGAAGTTCTTCCGTCCCAGTCAATCCTCTTAAATCTTTGCCTTTCTCCAGTTCAGCTTTGCAAACCTGGGCATCTCCCAAACTGTAGCACTATCTACTCCTCTCCTTCTCGCTGCGCCCCGCCTTCCTCATCATCTCCTTCCCTCACACTTTTACTGACATGTCTATCACAAACAACGGCAAAACTGAGCGCTGTGCAACAAACGAGTAGTTGCCGTCCGATTATGAAACTCTGGTGTCTCAGCCTGGTCATACTCGATGGGTAAATTCAATGTAGCTTCTATGAATTGACTGCTTCTCTCTTTTCTCAGATGGATTTTCCAGCAGTTTAGTATAAGTTAAGTATAAAAGCGGGAAGTAGAAGTAATATTTCATTTCATTTTTGTAATCGAAGAAGTAAGGCTGTGCTTGGTTGGAGGCGTTCTTGTCTCAAAGTAGCTACCCTTACATCTCCTGCCATCCTCAAAGGTGACATAGGGAGCTGCTTTGCGAATGGACCTGAAAGCTGGTTCAGTGAAAGGTGTGTGATGTTAAATGTATCAGTCATCATCTCATGCCAACAGTTTTCTAAAAGCAATATACATCACGTTCCATGGCATTGGAATTAATCTCGTTCTCTTCTCTGTATATCTGTTGCTTAGAATGCTTAGAATGAAGCATTTTTATCATATTCTCCGCCAGATTCAAATTCTTTTTACACAGTTTACAACACTTGAGGAGTATTAACCATTCGATATTTTATTCAAATATTATACGTCAGTTGCAGAACTGCCAAATGCAATATGTGAAGTGGCAAAGAGCTTATGTGTTGTTTTAATAATTTTACTTCATTCACAAATGTGCTGTAAGCGAAAATTGGTGAAAAGGATAGTAAAAGTACCTGTAAGTTCAGTACGACATGGCTCCTTAAAAAGGGAAGATTTATCCAAACCACATATTGCGACCAATTCCACAGAAAGCGGTGTTAGCCAAACGGTTCGTACAGATCTGACTCTTGTGATAATCGAAGGATGTGCTTACCAAGTGACACTCAGTAAGCTCAAGTTTTTTCCGGAATTACAAAACAAAGAGATGAGTCAAAGAAAAACCAATCACAAGGATGAGAACGAAGGAAGCATCTAGCTCAATTTTTTTGATTCTTTTTGAACACTATTAAACTCCACAACAAACTGTTTCTGATATTCGATCTCAAATTAACCTTTTTCCCTCATCACTTATTCTTCGTATTCCTAGAACGCATTGTATATGCTTCTTGTTTCTGCAGTTTTTTGATTGGAAACCTTGAGCTTTTCTGTCTCCAAAATGTGTTTTATGTTAAAACAATAATTATATGACCTGTGACTGGTGTCATAAAACTGGAAGAAAGGAAAAAATCTTTTATTTTGCAATCGGTATATCATGAAATTTCAGAAAAGTAAGCAAATAATAGACAAAAAAGTAGTAACAAAAGTGGTCAAAATCGAGAAAAATAGTGCACCGAAAGAAGCGGTATTTGAATTTTTTTTAAAAATTACTCATAAAAGTTATGAGTATTCAAGCATAAATGGCTTTCTCTATGCAAATCGCCTTCTATATTCAGATCTTCAATTATGTAAAATTCTAAGTTTGTAGCCGATTTTAACATTTCCATATGTCATTCAAATCTTATTCTCCTTCCTTTTTGCTTTCCAACAACTAAAGCGTTTCCTTTTGTTCTTTTATGTATGTAAGAGATTTTATGATTTTTAAAAATTGTCGCTAAAAAATAATATCAAGTCATAGAGTTGAATAAGTTTGTAATTGTAAGGTTGGAAAAGGGTTAATGCTTTACAGACAATGAGAGAGAAAATCTCGAACACAGTTACCGGATTATTTAAAAAGGTTTGTAATAAATCTATTGAACGAAGATGAAGTAATTCAAAATTTTATATCTTTGCTTTCGAATTTTTCACGGACTGACAAAAGATTGTTCGAGTAATTGCAATAGTTATAAAATCATAATGATGTTGTCCGAATTTCATCATAACTCAAAAAGATGCAAATCTCAAAAGCTCTCAGATTTATCATCCGAAGAAGTTATGGGCCACTAGTTTGTCTGGAAGGTTGGATACTACAAAAGTGTTAAATATTTCTGTTGTTGCAGAAAAAGGATTTAGAAGCAACCCAAGAGGAGGAATTCGGCAGTGATAGAAAGTAAGTGAGGAGTAAAAGTATTATATTTTTAATTTGAAGCTTTCGAATTTGATGAACATTCTACATTAATTTAACTTTGAACTCTTCCAGCTAATCTCTGCTAAATACTATCATTTGCAGCAAAGAAGACATTGTAGAAACGGCAAACGTAAAATGTCTAGGCAATTTGGATGAAATAGTGAAGGTATTTGATAGATGTAACGAAGTCTTTGCAATCATTGAATTTTTTTCTTGAAAAACTCCAATTCAAGCATCTTTAAAGTTATGCGCGACAAAATCAATGACAAATGAATGTATTCTACGGAAGCTGCTAGCATACTGAGTAAACACTATTGCATATTGGCATATCAAAGCATTATTAGTGTCCAAGTCATCAGTAGACTAATAGTAGATTTGAAGTTATTTCCTGAGTGAAATTGAGAGTAATTTATGAAAGACTCTTTCTCTCTTTTAGTTATAATACAGTCTACTGTAACTCTTACTGAGTGAATTTCAAATTCAACTTTTTCGATTTCCCGAAACAATTGTATACTTCTGAAGTTAAAACAAGAAAATCGAAGACTTTTTGACATGCACATTAACTTAAATAAGCAATGACTTGAACTTAATTAGCTAAACTTTATGGGTTAATCGATCAGTATGACAATTATTTGAGTTCCAAAGAGTTCCACTTGTGGATATATAATGTGAGCATAGAGATACAAAAGATGACAAGAGAAATTGTCATGCCACCTAAATCGTCCCATATTTGACCAATTTCATTGAAATTTCGTAGTTCTAACTGCATCTATTTCTTCTTTATTCATCGTTTTCCTTATAGAATCGTAAATTGAAAATAGATAAAGAGATAGAAGAAATGAAATCTGCTCATGAAATGGATGATTTCAAACCTCTGCAGCCAATTACCGATCCAAAATTGCATGTTAAAATTACGGAGAAAAAATGTGTCCTCTATGAAACGAACGACGAGCCAACTTTAGACGATGAGTTAGATGAAAAAATACTCTAATATTCTCGAAACCTCGATTTATTATTTCCACAATCAAAATTTTAATTATTGGCATTGTTTTTTTGAAATCAGAAGTCAGTTAAAAAATTTTCATGTTAATCATATCATCACTTATTTAATCACATTTCAACCTCGACAGTCATTTATCAATCTACATTTCATGTTTTTTTCTGTCATGAATAGAACACATTCCCTAAACGAAATATATGAAATGGCAATTTTTGACTAAAACAGGAAGATGTTTAATCAACTTTCTGAATTTCTATCAAACATGTTGGGACATTCAGCATAATCAATTGATGTAAAAAGAGGAGAGCAAGGGAGGTTGGATCTATTATAATAGAACTTTGTAGATCACGAAAGTCGTCCTTCCTGCTCTTTTCGGAGTTGAGAAATCATGCATGGCCATTGTGCCATTATCGATTTTCACTGGTTCCAAATCTTCGTTTTCATTTCAGGTACTTCCTTTAAAAGTTTAGGCTCCAGGAGATATTTGGCCCTCTTTATAACTTATCATGAATTTTTCTCCACATCCTTTTCTTTACAAAGTTATTGATTTTTCGAATGCCCCATCAAACTGTTTGACTGAATTTCACTGTAACAAATACAACTGCTTCATCCAGTTTTCTTATTATTTACCGATCATCTTGAAGATATTATCTCTCTTTTGACTAGATAAATAGTGGCTGATGCCTATGTTTGAACTATCCGAGAATAAACTGATGGATGAAATGGACGAATTGGCTTGATAACTGACTAATAACTATTTCGTTGAAGAAATGAATTGGCAATTTGGCAATCATAGCGGTCAATTTAAGTTCCTATCTCGTGTATGTCAAAAACTCAAAAGGCAAACCGCCTCTAAGATAGGCCAATTATCTAACCATGTAAAGGCATAACGACACATCGAATAGAAGAAAGCGAAAGAGAGAGGAGACATTTTGTTAAACTTTTCCACTTAGACTTGGAACTCGAAACGAGGAGAAATAGAAATACCATCCCATCCTAAAAAATTCAAATGAAAATTCATGCGTTTTCCTCTTCAGTCTTTTTAAAAAATGCAACAGACGAATATTTTTCTCAGAGGGAGCGCACTTGTCACATATTCACTGAATTCTTTTGTAACAGAAATCTTTGTCACCAAAAGATTTTTGTTTTGATTATTTCAAATACTTCGTGAAAACAATCTCGTCCTCTGGAGAGTTAAATTAGTTTCCAGAAAGTTTACTTTTGTGTTTGGATATCCAGCTTGAACTTTTGAACTGAAAGCTTGAAGTTGAGATTAGTTTCGACGATTCCTCACTTGTTTAGATGTCTATTTTAATTTTGGACTAACCCATATGTAATTGTCAAAAAAAAAACTTTTTATTGATATGAAAGAAATTACTTGAAGTTTTTCAGGAAGGTTTTTAATGATTTCAACATATTTTATTGTGTCAGCAAACATTCATTTCCATAATGCATCGAAGTCCTCAGGTCACAATAAGTGTCATTTGCTTGCTGGGTCACTCATCATTGAAAATATGAACGCGAAACAAAGAAGAAAGCTTCGTAAGTCGTTTTTTTCTTTTAAAAAATTGACAAATTATAGTGAATCTCTTTTCCACTACATCCGTGAGTTTGTCATTCCATCTAGTGCAGTTCCCATGATCGATTCTGCATCTGAAGATACCGGAGAGTGTTAAACTAGAGATCTTTTTTCTGATACTCTATTTTCTTGTTTAGTCACTTTCTTCAAACACTGTTAGATGGGTGCAAACGCGACATTACTGTAGGATACTTTCAGCAACTTTTAGAAAGTTCCTTAATAAATAAACGAATATATCGAATTAATTTTTGAAATGGTGCTATATATCAAATCATGCAGTTATTTCCACTTCAACGAATGCCAATTTCCGTGTTCCACTTGTTTCTTCTTTTACAAAGCAAATTTATATTTGCTTTGTTAATGTAGGATAATTCGAAATTGAAGATTCCAAATTTTCTTAATGATTGGTAGTTTACAGTCTAAGGTTCTAACTAACGATGGTTTTAACCAGTGAATTCTTCAACTGCCGTTTCATTTCTTTAGCATTCATCCGATCAAAAAGAGAGGTCGAAGAGAAGAAGTTGAAAAATGATGAATAGAAAGGAAAAAAATCTGCAGACCCGACAAATAAAGCGACAAATCAGTTGGTATGACGTTAATTAACGACAATTTGGCTTTTTTCAATTTTTTTTTCTTCTTGCATTTGTGGTGAGTTAATGCATCACCCCATTTGACAAGCACAAAATACGCCGACAGCTGTGCTATTCGAATGCACTTCGATGTTGTGCCATCGGTGCGGTAATCAATGTATTGCAAATGCTCCAACCATCTTTTTCCAGTCTGGATTTGAAATTTTCGCTAAAACTTTGATTAATTCTTGAAGAAGTATTCCTTTTAATTGTTAAGATTAAGACATTTTCTCGAACTTTAGCCTGTTAGACTATAGTTGATAACTGACCTGATATTCCTCTCAAAGATTTTGATATTTTTTGTTATTTATCGCACTACTGTTGCATATATTTTATTCCACTATTATTACTTTTTCATTTCTCCATATCCAAGATAAAATCCTTCCATCCTAATTTATCATTGGTACTTAAACATAAGACCTTGTTAGTGTCAGTAGGCGACATACTGCACAAAGGTTTACAAAGCTAAGGTCCAGGGCCTGAAGATCAAAACATACAAACCTTAAAAAGTCGGAGAGATAAGTTGGTGGGTTGAAAATAGCACTGCAAAAAATGAAACTTGCGTTAGTTTTCAATTTTCAAAAACACCAAAGTTGTAATTTTTCGTATTTACACTGAAAAGAAAAATACGAAAAATGTAGGAATTTTGCTGTAGATCTTATAATGCATGGTTTCCCAATCATTGGCTAAAGGAAATGGGCCATTACTGCATTACTGCACAGTTGAGCATAAAAGCCTTTTAAATGTTGCAAGCGATCGATCAACTGAAATACTGCATTTAAGCACTTGCCTACATATAGCAGTAAGCAACTAATATTTACGGATTTGATTTCTGTTGGTATAATAAATCGTTGACGATCGATTACAGTTATGTATGCTCATACAACCCTTTAATTTTTAGTTCAATGAATTCTGTTCTCTAATTATAAAATGGACATTACCCGAAATTCCCTCTTGGCTCTAAGTAATTCTGGAAATCTTAGATCCGAAAAGTGACATTTTCCAATTATGCAAATGAATTAGATAGATAACAGATACTGGAAAACGGGTTGTTCATGCTCAAGTCCCCTTACTCCAGAAATAGATATCTCTATTTTATTGCTGAAATACCGAATCTCTCATTCTTTGCGATTTCTCAAAATTACGCACAGAAACTATTTAAATGTTATTTGTGCAACGAAGATATTATGATTAAATGCTAGAAAAGTGTTGAAGAAGGATGAAGCAGTTATCATGATGATAACAGAACTGCTACTTGAAGTTGAGGAATAATCTAATCTAGACTAGGAGATCAATAATTTTACGGACTGTTTTATTCCTCCTGCTAAGATCTCTGGAAAATCTTTGCGCATAATATTAGCTTCTCTTTCCCTTAATTCAAATCTCTTCAGCAACTGTCTTCATTTGATGAATTTTTTTGCAGAATGTACTTTGATGTATCAACTAGCAATCAGTAAGGTCGGTAAAAATCCCTATTCCATACTGCTGATGTCAAAATCCATTTGTGTGCCTTTTCACATAATTGTCTTATAATCATATCTGCTTACAACGGTACGTCAAATTCCCATTTTTATCGTAGCATAGAAATTTCTCATCGATTTCTTCAAAATCTCTTACCAAAAAAGCATGATAATGCCATATCCTTAACTTTCACTGCACTTAGTATTGGTGCAGCTTTGGTCGGCTAAAAATCATGTAAACTGAAAAAGTTTAAATCTTCTCTTTTTTATATTAATTTTCAAAAAAGTGAAGTACAAAGTGAAATTGATCACTTCTCATATACTTTAACAAAAGATGACAAATTAGGGAGAAGCAACAGGATGGAATTTTTTGTCTTATGCTGTTTGATAATGAAAATTTTTGCTCAAACATCAAGTTAGATAGATGTCAATCATTTCAAGCGTCTTGGAAGAGGATGACATCCTCAGTAAATCTGTCCCTTGTATCTCTTTCTAGCTCCTTTTCATGCATCAACAGCGCTATTATCGAAAGTCGATATAGCTAGTATGGCTAGCACTTTACTAATTTCCTCAACAGCGTCGCTTCTCGGTAACATCGATCCGTTCTCGATTACACAACGCGAAATATTTATCATCTTCCTAACAAACCTCTAATGGTAGTAATCCATCCTTTTATCATTTTCACTTATATTTGTTCTGATCAGTCATGAGCTGTCTTCCTGTCATTTCAGATCAATATTGATTTTTGAAAGACTTGTTTGAATCTTTTTTCGAAGGAATATATTTACTAATAAATTCTTCAAAAATTCCTAGATTTTATGAAATCCTTTTCAAGAAGCATCGTTTGCTCATTCAGCAGAAATAGGTCGAATATTCCACTGATGCCTCATTGATTTAATATTAGGAAAATATAAAGTAAGTTTAAGCTTAAGTTTATTTAACAGATTCGAACTTATTAAGCTTAAATTCCCCCGTTCTTTTTCTGTTTCCATTGAACATATCTTGTCAATTTATGAATTTTTATAAATTCAGTCATTAGCACGCTAATTGCCATCCAGCATACAGAATATAACGACGTCATAGAATATGTAAGAATGAGATTTGCACAGGAAAGATTCATTCAATTTGTATTTATGATTTGTGTCCCATCGACGACATATCATGAAGAGCGAGTATTTCTAATGCTCGAAAGTTATTGCCATGAATGCCTTCGTAATATGTTATTGTAAAATATTGGTTATACATGTTCCTCCTCTGCCTCTGCTATACTGAGACAATCTCGAGATTAGTTTGTGTCAAGAAAATTTTCGATTTCTGTGTTATACCTAAGAATATCAAACATCGTCCAAAAATCCCAGTTATTCTTTTAAATCTAAATTTATACTTTATTTAGTTTTCTTTTATTCTTAACGTCCTATTTTCATTTTTGTATATTTTATATTTTCGACGAAAGCTTTTTTTTTCAGTCTTCATTTACAGTAATCATTGCGAAATTGTTTCATTGTTAAGACTATAATGTCTAAAGAGTTAAATTTCAACAATGCCCGGAGCTGCACATATAACTGTTAACGAGAAGGATGTCATCAAAATTGTCTTGGAATTCCTGGAAACTCGAAGCTTGCATATTGCTCAGGTTCATTATAATTTGAGATGTTGACAAATTGATAAGAAGACCAATTATAACTGATATAGTCAGACTAGTATCTTTAAAATTATGTTCAGCTAGCACTGGAACGAGAGACTGGTATAATCAACGGTGATTTCTCGGATGATGTCTTGTTCCTGCGACAGTTAGTGCTCGATGGTCAGTGGGACAATGCATTAGATTTTGTGGAACCTCTTCGTAATTTACCGGATTTTGATCTGCGAACATTTCGATATTATATCACAAAATATAAATATTTCGAGTTATTATGCATCAAACAGGAGCCAGGTCCAATGCATGACAACGATTTTACAGTTGAGGTACTAATAAATGTCCTTTTCATAACATTATAACAAATAAATACGAGTAAACAAGAAAATGCATATTGAAGCAAGCCAACATATTCTCATTTTCAGGAGCTGGTGGAATGTTTGAAGGATCTAGAACATATATGCCCTACGCCAGAAGACTTCCACGCCTTGTGCGCTTTACTCACTTTGCCTAAATTATCTGATCACGTTGATTTCAAAAACTGGAATCCAAGCAGCGCTCGAGTGGAATGCTTTCAAAAGGTTGTGTGGAGCAACAGCAAATCATTACTTTATTTTTTCATAAATTGTAAGGCAAATAGGAAAGTAATGTAAGTTATAATGCATTTAGAGATTTATAACCTAAGAATTAGCTTTATGACGTAACCTAGGTAAATCGTAAGTATATTATAATTGAGCAGCCAGTAAGTGAATTCAATTTTAGATCGAACCAATGGTTACACCTTTACTACCTTCGACAGTAAGAAGTGTGGATCAAGTACGATCGCATTCATTGAACGATCGTTTAATGCAATTGGTCGTGAAAGGAACAATGTATGAAGGTTGCGTGGATTACTGTCAGGCGCAGGCTATCAACGATCAGAAAGGTAAGAGATTCGTACATGAACAGCTAGACAGTAAGTAAACACAAACTGAATTGAGTTAACTGAAACAGTACATGTAAAGAAGGAAAACTATACAGCTATAGTTATTCAAACTATACAAAATTAAGTGGGATGCCAAAAAAAGCCATAGCTAAAGTTAGAAATTTGAAAGAATATCTATGTAAGTTCTCACCATAGTCTATCAGCTCACTATAAGAAGGGTTGTGAGATAAACAGCATGCCAGATATTATATGATAGAAGAAATTAACTGAACTCTCCGAATTTGTCAAATTGAATGAAGATGGTTTATCGGAAATGGAAATGCATGGAAGCGCTTACTAAAAATGCACAAAATGTCTGCAACAGTAAATATCAAATATTTTTCCGACTTCGCTATTGTAGTAAACATCTATTACAATATCATCATACATTTCGCTGTTATAAATAAGGTGTTGGGATAATATGTAATAGATAAATATGCAGTAATAATCTTGCAAAGGATGACATAGTAATAAAGGTATCTAATGAGTAAATATCTATTCAGGTATTGAAAAGGGCGCAATTCCAACAGCACTTCTGTCTGTCAAACCACGGTTAATGAATACGGATTTATCACTGATATCCTGGCTCGCAGCTATTGGTCGTGAACAGTTTACATTGCCTTTTGAACAGAAAGCTTTGGATTTAAAATTCGATAAAGTGAAGCAAGTTTTGTAATTATATTCAGTAATGATTTCTATCTGTAGATGTAGTTCCCAAGAAATTAAGAATATTTTAGTGATTTTGTTCCAAATCCCAGATAAATCACTTATTTTCGAGGCAGTCTTTTTTTTGGAGAGGGTGAAGGGAAAACTGTTTCTAATTTAGCAACGCTGCAGTTAAACTTCCTATTGAAATTTATAAATAAAAAAAAAATTCAGAAAACCTAAATTAGAAGCTCAATGGACGGAACACATCTTAGCAACACCAATTAAACCTGGTGGTACATTTCCACATGCCTTGGTTCCAAACGTCAAGTTAAAGTGTGCTGAAAAAATGAGCCGTTCTATGGTACTACCATCGATGTCATCATCAGTTGCCGTTGGTTAATTTTAAAATGCTTTGACTATAGCATAATTTCTGGTGAAAAGGTCACGATTTCACAATCAAATACGCATCTCTTGTTTGCTTTCGCCTTTCATAATTTGTTGGATCATATCTTGAGGTAGGAGTAATTTGAAGCATACGATCAAAAAATTTTTGAAGAATTCTCCTTAAGGTGTTTCATCTAGCACGCGAAGTTCTTTGCATCCGATGTCGTATTCTACAATGCCATCAGTCGGTTTTTCAATCCAGAGTAATACGGAAGAGCATCCGAAAGAGGTGATGGTCCAGAGTCAGATGATTGATGCAATGTTCGAATCATCGGAACATACCAGAAGTAGTCGACCCGGTAAACCATGTGATCAGTTGCCATATCCAAATGCAGCACTGATGCAAACATCAAGTGTAATGCATAGCACGTTGCAACGCAATCAGTAAGTTGTATTTCCTAGCCTTGCAAAATGATTCTATACCGAAAATGGCAAAAAATGCATGTCTCATTTTTCCCAAGGTATTTTCTTGTAAGATGTAACTATTTCAGGCAAGCCATGATAGCACAAAACATGGGTTTTAGTCCACGGATGATGCACTCGATGACACAATTATCCCTTTCAACAGACAATATGCTACGCCATCAATTGGAAGACATGGCGCGACGTGGCCAGCGGATCGGCTCGCTACCACCGGTACCTGAACTTTCTACACCCAGCGAATGCTCCTTGGTGGAATCAGCACGAATTGAGAGTTCTCTGAATATTACCACTGCACTTGTCAACAACGATTCAACGGCTGAACCTCCATTATCTTCGCTATCAGCTTTCACGGGAGTAAATAATCCGATGAATACATCTCTGTTCCAAGAATTTTCAAATCGGCAACTGCGTCAGCAAGGTTAGTTAGGTTTAAGATTGTTTTTAGAACACAGACTGTATTCATAGAATATTTCTTCATCTGATAGGAAGACGATATTTTTCTAGCGTAGCGCTTTCAGTTTTCTCGTGTACACTAAGGTGCTATTAAATGCAAACATAACAAACCGAAGTGCTTATGTCTCTTTTTGATTTGATTCCTGAAAAGATTCGCATGTCTCTTTGAAAATCCATCCAGTTCGAGACTGTTAGAATCGTTGAAATAGTATTTTGATTAAAATATCAATTCTCATATACAACACTTTAATATAATTTTCCTTTTGAGGAAGGTTACAATTTATCTCGCCTTCTCAGTTCCCTCAGGTTGCTGATTCAACTAATCACGTGGCACGTATCAGAGCATCTGCGCCCAATACGTCAGAGTCATCCACGATTGGTGGTGTGTCATCATCTGCAGCCGATTATGCTCCGCGAAAGACAAATAGAGCTCCACTCACGGTACCAGTTATTCAGAATGATTTCATTCAAGCATACAAAATATAGTTCTCTCCATTTTCCCAGTTTTTTTAGTTAAACGATCGAGATTTTATTATCCGTTGCTGTTCTTTACTTTGTTAACATAACTTTCAACAAAGTTTTTAGTAAAAACACTCCATATTGTTTTGTTCACCAAAATTATTTAGCCAAGCAGGATGTCAAAGATATTGCCTGTTTCGCCAGAAGCCATGACGACTTCTGCGACTCACATCGGACTTACCGAATCGAATCGATCGCCTGTTCGAAGAAGCGCTAGTACTGTCGGTGTTCAAACTGCTGCTGCGGTTTCTCAGGTAGCTTGCTCAACAAGTGGACTTAGTGTGCAATTTGTTCCAGTTTGCCGGTAAGTTTCAACTTTGTCAATCAATAACTTCTTTCAAATTTGTCCCGTAAAGTTCGGTACTGCTGATTGATATCCCACGGATTTTTTACCAGGTACGAAGATGTACAAGCAATACGGACCGTGGCATTTCATCCGACTGGTCGATTTTTCGCACTGGGAACCAACTCGAAACAAATGCTTATCTGTAAATATCCTGACATCAGGAAGTTCAGGTATGTTACCTTTATTTTGACATTCAAGGCACTTTTGTTGTAATGGTGATCTAATGTGCACAAATTTTGTGGCACCAACAAATAGCAACCATTCTTTGTTATCAGAAGATGGTAAATCATAATTATTCTGGTAGAAGAAGCGATGGACCGGATAATGCCAGGCATGTTCTTTTGTAATTACGCAGAAAAGACCTAGCATTTAATTCTACTCACTAAATTGATAAGCCTTCCAATAGAATAATGTATTCCTGTAGATGAAGGACAGAAACTACGGATAGGTTCCACCGAATAGATGCTCCTGCTGCTTAACGTAAAAGCACTGTAAAAAATGCAAAGAATCAGATTCCTTTTAGTCAAATATTTCATTCTAGACCTGAAGATGCTCCACGTCATGTCGAGGTTATGCTCTCAAGGCCGAAACAGCATCGAGGAAGTGTGTATTGCTTGGGATTTAATCCTACCGGTGAATTACTTGCAACGGGTTCCAATGATAAAACGCTTCGTTTAATGGCCTTTAACACTGAACATTGCAAAATTGGTACGCTTTTATATCTGAAAATGCGAGTCAAATTAATTATTTAATACTAAACAGCAATTTTTAGAAATCAAACTTTTGCCGTTACCATTTTCGGAAATGAAGTTGTGTCAAACTGTCGGTTACATTTTGGGAAGTTCAGGTGCAGAGACAGAGCTGAATATTCACGATGGTACAGTGCGTGATTTAATTTTCATGGAGAATAAGATGAATCGAAGTACAATATTAGTTTCCGGTGGTGCTGGTAATTGCCGCATTCATTTAACCGATTGCACAACGGGTCAATCATTAAGCTCGTATCACGGACATACCGGTGAGTTTTCACCGATAAAAATCTCTGCCTATACTTTAATGGTGGCTGTACAAATACGCCTAAATTTCTCCCACCATTTACAAATGTATCAATCAAGGTGCTTTCCTTCTCAAGGAAAATATGCAAATTTCGAAGGAAATACAGCAAAGTTGATAGCTTTCAGCTCCCATTCTTGGCTTATATACATGGTGTAACGGGTATTTTGTTAGCTGCTCACAAGATAAAACGATACGATTTTGGGATCTAAGAGGCCCAGAAGCTGTAAACGTCATTTCTCCGAACTGTAAAACATCGAGTAGGTTCCTTTGTTCTTGTAGTACTGTAAAATTTTGCCTCTGTCCAATTCATTAACTAGCAATCAGAAATTTTCTGAAATAGATCAATTCAGGAACAAATGTTTCTCTCTACATGTTTCAGATGCACCAGTGACATCAGTTTGCGTGGATCCAAGTGGAAAATTACTAGTATCCGGACACGAAGATGCATCAGTAATGCTTTATGATATTGTCGGTAGTAGAATTGTGCAAATTTACCGACCACATGGTGACGAAGTTCGTACCGTACGCTTCAGTAACGCCGCATACTATCTTCTTAGCGGTTCATATGATAAAAGGTAGCTTTATTGAGAGAAGCCTTCTCATAAATCTTCTCATCTCTTAAAATATTCAAATTAATTGGTGCATCTTTTGTAGAGTGGTTATCACAGACATGAGAGGTGATTTGATGACACCGCTTATGTACCTCCCAGTCGCTGAACATAATGACAAGGTTATACAGTGCAGGTGATTATTTCTGAATTTTTAATTAGCATTAGCTATCCATAGATATTTATCATTATCAAGCTAAGTTCATCTTCATGTGTATAAATTCAAATTAAATCACAGTATCATTGTTTCCGTATACATCCATTATGTTTTACTGAGATCATCACAGAGAATATACCATCAATCTTTTTTTTTTTTCAGATGGCATCCGCACGATTTTTCATTTCTGAGTACCAGCGCTGATCGTACGGCCGTCTTATGGTCGCTTCCGCCCCCACCTCAATATCATTAATATTCTCCAAAATTTGCTTTCGAAACCCAATTCCTGAAAGAAGCGCGAACATTCTGTTTTTGTTCTTAATTAATGATTATTTGTTTGTGTAACTGCAACAAATGTTTCCCAGTCCTGAATGCTTTCTTTGTATTTACTCCTTGCATTGCAACTAAAACTTCACTTAGTGATTGAAAGTTTCTAACATTCTTGTTTTAAGAGAGTTTGAAATATCTGAAAGGGATTTCAAAGCAAACGTTTAACTGTCCTCAAAAAATGTAAGCATTGCTTGGAAGATGTAACATCCCGCGTGACAACCTATCCACCTTATTTTTAATATTTGGCACAAACTGAACAACTAACTTTAGAATATTGTCACAGATATTAAACATGTCGTTTCTCTTTGGCTCATCAGATATATATAATACGTTCTAACAACGGCTCTCCATTACATAAACAGAGAAAGATGAAAGTGAAGAGAGAAGAGAAAAGGAAGGAAACGTTTCATAGCAGCTCATGAACTGCTTCGAGGTTTCAGAATCGAATTTCACGCTTCAAGCACTAGACTATAGTAAGATCGATGTCTTCGAGTTTGTACCATCACTCTTTCCATTTCTGTTTCACTGGTATTATGAAGAGAAAACGGAAGCAATGCTGCAGAGCTGTCTTCAACAGGACGTACCATTTTTAAACATTACTCCCGTGTGATATCCTCATGTGACAGTATTCAATCTAATGTACAAATGGACCAGAAAAATAAATTCGTCCGAATCTTTGGTGCAGAACTCTCAAAATTATTGGAATCATTCAAAATACTCTGAATCCATCACAATCGTTTCCCAACGTAGCGATCAGCCGCATCGCTAAGCAAGACCAACTTCTACCTAAAAAGAGAGAGAGAGGAAATATCTCCATCTTTACCTGTCCTTTCTCTCTTTTCTCTCATTCTCCTTCCACACGAGTTCATACCCTGCTGGACCTCCTCCTGTCCTTCTAAATATCCCCGTAATGTGTCGAAATGCGACAGCACAGGGTGCTGGTTCATTTTACGAAAGTAAACTTTAGGAATAATTGCATTCCTTGTCACCCAATGGTTACTGTGTGATACGTCTTGCAGATTTGCGAAGGATTGTCTTAACCTTTTAACCCAAATTCGTTGTTATTACAGGTTTCCAATCGTTGGAATTTACTTCACTCCATTGTTGCGAATGGGTAAACTACAAGCAATCAGTGAGCAGATCGATTTTTCGGCTGAGGAATTAAAAATATTGCAATGGTGGCGGGAAGAGAAGACATTCGCCAAGTCTTTAGAGTGAGCCTTACTGCTTTTTGTTGTCCATAAGCGATTTCTTCAAATTCACATCAGCATCTAGTAGCGTTTCTCAGTTATATATCAAGCTTATAGCTTATAGCTTGAGCAAACTGAGGTATGGTATATTTATAGTTTTAAGATATTAAGTATTGTTTGAACTGCTTTGCAAATGCTCCAAAATTACTGAAATATCTCCATAAATGATACAGAAACTTCAACTCTCGATCGGAATTTCTATATTTTTCGAAATTCTTAACAACATCAAGTTTGTTATTCAAATTTAGGCTCAGCAAAGGTCGAGCACGTTACACATTCTACGATGGCCCTCCGTTTGCTACAGGCTTACCCCATTACGGTCATATTTTGGCTGGAACTATTAAGGATGTTGTTACTCGCTGGGCACACCAAAATGGCTATTATGTTGAGCGTCGCTTTGGTTGGGATACGCATGGCCTTCCAGTAGTACGTTTCAAAATTTTTGTTTGATTGCACGAAATATTAAAAATGACAAATTTTTGTGAAGATGCAGAAATAAAACAGCATTGTTTTTAATAAAAGCATTATTTCTTTTTATTTTTAAAGATATAATTGGTGAAGAGGTTTTATTTCAGGAATACGAAATCGATAAAATACTTGGCATTAAAGGTCCTCATGATGTTCTGAAATTAGGTATTGATAAATACAATGCTGAATGTCGAAGTATTGTCATGCGGTACTCGTCAGATTGGGAGGTTTGTGTGCCGTCATTCCATTTGCATTCTTTGCATGTTTTGTAAAGTAGAAGCTATAGTTTGCCGTGAAATATTTGTTTCCAAACCATTCATATTCTTGTGATTCTTTTCCTTACTTTTTCTGAAATGTTGATTATGAATTTATTCGTTAGAGGTTTTTTTATAGAACACAGTTGAACGTATGGGACGCTGGATTGATTTCCAAAACGATTATAAAACGCTTTATCCGTGGTTCATGGAAAGTGTTTGGTGGGTTTTTAGTCAGTTGTTCAAAAAAGGACTTGTATATAGAGGAGTGAAGGTATGTTTCTACCTATATTTGCTGACGGTTCTTTTATGAGTTCAGTATCGGTATAGCAGTTTTTTTGTATAAAGAATGACTATCCCTTCTTCCAAATTTGGTTCGAGAATATATGTCCCTTAATATGAAAATATACATTCCTCATATTACCACAGTATTTCGTGTTTTAAGAAAATATAACAGTATTTAAATTTAGGTCATGCCATTTTCGACAGCTTGCTCTACACCACTTTCAAATTTTGAGGCTGGACAAAATTATAAAGATGTTGTTGACCCTGCAGGTATTCTAAGTTAATAGTAACTTATTTCTACAGTTATGAATCGTGGTATCATGATTATTTGAGCCTTTTAAGATTTACGGGATTTCCAGGGATTCATAATTAAAAATCAAAAACTAAACTAATGAATCTCTTTCATAAGGATTGGTTTTCTGTAGTTGGTTGTAGAAATTTCTAATTGCTTCTTCATGATTATGTTGATTACTGTATGTGCTGTAGTCTACCGTCCTGCACGATTTTGAGGAATTTTAATATCGTTTTTATGTGTAGATAAAAGTTTCAAAGTTGAAGATATTAATGCGAGAGGAAATCCGATGTGATGAGTTGTTTTCCTTTCAACTGCCCGAGAGCCTTATTCAGATGGTGCTATTTTCAGTAGTTGTTGGTTTCACACTGGATGATGATTCATCTATACAGCTAGCTGCATGGACTACAACACCATGGACTTTACCGAGTAATTTATGTATTGCTGTTCATCCAGATCTTATTTACGTCATCGTTCAGGATAAAAAATCTGGAAAGAAATACATCTTGTTGGAAGAGGTGGCTTCATTTGTCAGAGTTTATCAGAAATAGTTTTTTTTTTTCAAAGATAGTTCAGAATAACTTTATTTATGAGCTTATCAAAAAAAAAAAGCTGTTTGCATCACTCTTCTATAAATATGCTTTCTTACCGTTTAACCAGTAAAAGGTCAACCAAAGCTGTTGGCAGCTATCGTTTACCTGCTTTGTTCTCTTATTCAGTCAGACTCAAGCATGAGTACATCACGCAGCTCATATTCTATTACTATGAATAGTCTTGTTAGCATAGACATTCATGGCAATTCATTTTTAAAATTATAATAATTCTTCAACTCCAACCCAATTTTTAGAGAATATCCGAACTGTGCAAAAATGTCCAGGATTACGAGATTCTGGATCGATTTAAAGGAAAGGTTTTGGAAGGTAAAACCTACCAGCCACTTTTCCCATATTTCGCCGAAATGAAAAATAAAGCTGGCGCATTTCGGGTGCTTATTGCTACGTACATCACCACCGATCAAGGTACTGGTGTGGTGCATCAAGCTCCCTATTTTGGAGAGGTGAATTATCCAAAATATTTTTTTCCTTTTCTTTTCAAATATTTGTGCTCAATCCCTTCAGTTTTAGATACTTTCAAGCTAATTTGCCGGTTTCCAAGCCACGAAGTTTTAATTGCGACTTCAAATCATGCTCTTTATAACATACTGAGCGAATAATCCATAACGATTCTATTACAGTAATTTGAGATTGGCTGCATTTTGATTCAGATTGACTTTCAAACATGTTTGGATAACGGTGTCATAACCTGTGATATGAAGCCAATCTGTCCAGTTGATGAGTGTGGTCGGTTCAAAGATGAAATCAGTGATTTTTGCGGTCAGTATGTAAAAGATGCAGACAAAAATATTTGCAAATATTTGAAGGTTTGTAGAAATTATGAAATTTTTTGATTAACCTTAACCATAATTTTACCATTATTACATTTTCATAATTTTTCCTGATGTTTACTGTTCATTGCTCAATATTCCTGAATCAAGGTGTGAATTGTTATTATTCTTAGTTTTAGCAGCATGGAAATCTTATCAGATTGAGTGAAGTGAAGCACAGCTATCCTTTTTGCTGGCGATCCGATACACCACTGCTGTATATGGCGGTACCATCCTGGTTCATTCGCGTTAAAGAAATCGTGCCAAAACTGCTGGCTAATAATGACAAAACTTACTGGCTAGTTCAACCTTGCTACTTAAGCTGCGGTATAAAAACTTTAATTTTTCGAACTATGATGTCATAAAGTACTGTGGTATATTTTTCCAGGGTTCCGTCATTTGTAAAAGAGAAGAGATTTGGCAATTGGTTAAAAGATGCTCGTGATTGGGCAGTTTCAAGAAATCGATTTTGGGGCACTCCAATAAATTTATGGGTTAGTGATGATCTGGAGGAAATTGTCTCCCCAGCTTCAATTGCTGAACTGGAAAAATTATCCGGGCGAAAAGTGACTGATCTTCATAGAGAAAAGTGAGTCTTTTGGAAGTTGTGTGAAGTTAACATGGCACATGGGATGTTCGAAATGAATAGAGAAGAAAGTAATGAGTAGAAAAGAAAGTAATATGTACGAATGATGAAATATTTGTTTTTCAGTGTTGATCACATTACAATACCGTCATCTACTGGTCGTGGCGTATTGCATCGGGTTAGCGAAGTTTTCGATTGCTGGTTCGAATCTGGTTCAATGCCTTACGCTCAAAATCATTACCCATTCGAGAGGAAAGATGATTTCGAGAATAATTTTCCAGCTGACTTCATCGCTGAAGGTTTTTGATCTCTATTTTATGGATAGAATTTTGTCGGAAAGAATTGCAGGAAGCCATTTGTGGAGATTTTTTTCCTCTCGTGATAGTTGAGTAGAATTTTGGGATCGGGAGTACTTCCTTGGTTTAGGCGAGACTCATTTATATTATTAACATATTAATCAAGGGAAAAATAAGTATGTGGAAAGTAGCCCGCTTCCGTTGATGAAAGGAGTTATTAATGGGATTGTTAACTATGCAATATGTACTCAAAACAAAGAGAATCAACATTCTACAGTATGATCTATAACCGCCTAAAGAAATGTGTTATATCAACAGCGACAGTTAGAAATTAAGGCGAAAAATTGGAAAGAACGTAGGCTAGTAAATCTACACAACCTTTCCATTTTTTTAATCTTTTCTTGCTTCATGACACTGAAAAAGAAGCTAAATTGGCTAAATTTACATTACGCCAGCTATGGTTTTTTTGGATTATGGTTTGTGAGAACTGGATTGTTAAATAGCTTTGATTTCATCTCGAAGTTACGATGTTGGTAATAGGAAGAATTTCTTCCTCTTTTTCGCCACTGTTCTTGAAATATACGTCGTTCATCTAATGTCTCAGTTGTTACAAGTTTTAGTTCCTGATTGGGTTGTACATTCATAGGTATCGATCAAACACGAGGTTGGTTTTATACCCTTATGGTTCTTTCAACGGCACTCTTTGATCGACCACCATTCAAGAATCTTATTTGCAATGGTTTGGTACTTGCTGCTGATGGCTCGAAAATGTCGAAACGAAAAAAGAATTACCCAGATCCTTTAAAGGTTAGTTATGAAAGTTTCTGTAAATTCTGGAAACTCGCAGAAATGATAGATTTTCATATACAAATATGTCTCTATATTGTTGAATGTAAACCGATTTTACAGGTTGTTGGAAAATATGGTGCTGATGCTTTGAGAGTCTATTTGATCAATTCGCCTGTTGTTCGTGGCGAGAATTTGCGTTTCCGGGAGGAAGGTGTTAGAGACGTACTGAAGGATGTTTTATTACCATGGTACAATGCATACAGATTTTTCGTCCAGAATGTGCAAATTTACGAATGCGTTGGTTTTTCGTTTGTTCAGTTGTTTGTTTTGTTTTTTTTTTTTTGTGTTTTATTTTTGTTTTTTGTATTTAAGAAAAATTTTGAGCTCAAAAAACACTGTTACATTTTTACAGGATAACGTATTTGTGGGTACAGTACTTAATACTTCTGAATTATGTCATTTATTTTTTTAACCTGAAACGGTAATTTTAAAATAAATTGATTCGTCTTTTAGACAAACGGCAAAGAGTTCATACTGCTGGATGATAAGTCAGTTAATATAATGGATAAATGGATTCTGTCGTTTACAAACAGCTTGTTGAATTTTGTTAGAAATGAAATGAGTGCATATCGACTTTATGCAGTCGTTCTACCACTAACGAAATATTTCGATGCCTTAACAAATTGTTACATACGTTTAAACAGAAAAAGGATGAAAGCAAGTCATTGTTTCTTCTAAATTTTCATGATATCCGATTAAATCTATGGAAAGTGTATTATAATCTCTGGGAATTTGCATGTCCTTTATAATGTTTAGGAATATTCCGCCCTGTGTTCCTATTATCTTGATTTAAGTCTCTGACTCATATCTTCAGATTGATATGGATATTAATTTCGGAAAAAACTTTTTTTAAAATCGAACTTTTTGGCTTCTTTGTTTTGCAGACTTTCACATCATTTTTTCTGTCTTTTTTATGCTCAGTTTCCCCATTATAAAAATTGGCTTCATTAGATTATTCTACTGAATTCGCTTAGAAGGATATCTACACAAATTTTAGGGTGAAGATGGCCCAGAAGATTGTGCGCACAGCCTATCGACGTTAGGAAACGTTCTCCTGCTGATCGTCCGACTTATGGCACCATTTACGCCCTTTTTTTGTGAACATTTGTGGCGTAATTTACGGCATATTTCTTTATCATCTAGTGAATCCGTACATTTCGAAATGATTCCAGAACCACTGTAAGAATTTAGTTAATTGTTTGTTTATTAAATTCATATTAGTATGTTGAGTAGCTCAGGCAGAATTTTCATCAGTTAATCACTGGCGGTGTGAAACGATACGTTTTGTCCAGATAAAACTGGTTGACAGATGGGATAGTGCTGCGTTAGTAGCTTGAAGCTTTTGGACATACTTCATCAGTTTAGTAGTGCCTTTCCTTTTTTTTTTCATGGCTGTTTTTGGTTGTTTGAGTTACTGAAATTACTAAAAGAAATGTATCCAATATCAAAATTTCAGAAATGACTTAATAGACAAATCAGTGGAGCAAAGAGTTGCAAGAATGAGAGCAGTTATTGATCTCGTTCGGGTTTTACGGGAAAGAAAGGGAATACCAATCAAGGTGCACAAATTATATTTTCGTTCACGTAGTTCATGCTCATCTTTACATATCCTCTCATCTCCGAGCTTTTCAAGATCTTAATATGTATAATTGCAGTATCCACTGAAGGAGATGATCGTAATCAACCGTGAAAAGCAATTCTTAGATGACGTTCTTTCACTGCAAAATTATATTGTAGCAGAAGTTAACGTAAGGATGCTGACGGTTTCACACAATAAAGAGAAGTATGGTGTGCATCTGAAAGCAGAACCAAATTTTCGCTTACTTGGCAGCAGATTGAAGGGTGATCAAAAGAAAGTTGTTGATTACCTGAAGGTTGTTACGTACAAATTTAAAAGATATTCCTGTATAAGTTCTCTGTTGAAGATTCAAGCATTTTTAGTTTTGGATTAGATTTTTGTCAAATGTATGCAGGATACCATTTGTTGAAAAAAAGTGTAAGGGTTTATGCTCCATATTTTATAATGGTTTTGCATTGTAGAGATTTTTTCTTGCATTGAGAAGAATACTTTGAGTATACGTCGAGTATTCATTCAGAAAATGAAAGCCATTGTAGCATTCCAATTTATTTCTATTTTTAAATTCAATATACTTCAGTTGTTTTGATTTTCAGAATACTTGACTTCAACTCAATATTCCTTTCCGGAAGGGTTTCCTTTTTTTCAGAATCAAATTACCGAAAATGAATTGGAACAGTTTGCGGAACGGGGTACGTTGAATATATTGGGTTATGAATTGACTGCTGAAGAAGTTTGCTTATCTTATGCATGTTGTGGTGTCCAAGCTGCTGGCGAACAAATGGAAGCGCATTCAAATGGCCAGGTTACTTTCATTACTGCTTGTTTACACCTCTATTTGTAGCTCTGAAATCTTTATATTTTATATTATAGCAGTAGTTAATGTACTTCCATGATTTATGGATATTCTTAAATTTTGTTTAATCCAAACTATAAATTTTTCACAAAAACTTCTAGTTGTATTTGGGAGTCTTTACTGTTCATCAGTTTAGACAATAGTGATAGTGGATACAACCGAAGATGACACTCTGAAAGACGAAGGTTTTGCACGTGAAACTGTCAATCGCGTCCAGAAGCTTCGTAAAAGTGTAAGCTCTTATTCTGGCCCAAAATAAAAGAAATGAGAGACTGAAAGGGATGATGGTTTTTTTTTTCTTTCAGGGGTAGACTACGTTCAGCCTCAAAATTATTATGCGCACAATCAGATAATGTTGTTCCTTGAAATGAATTTGCATTCGAACATCTAGATTTTAATATTGGGTATTGATCCACACCTTTGGTAGAAAGGGTGGAAACTATGTTATTTGCAGGCCAAAATGATGCCAAACGATAAGGCAATAGTATATTGCAAAGTAAATCCGTCTACTCATCGTCTGGCTGCAGTAATTCAACACTACAATGAATTTATTGAAAACGTGACAGGTACTCCAGTACGTTTATCCAGTGTACCAGATGGTGCAGAACCAATTGCAGTATCTTGCAGCTCAGTGAAGAATGCACAAGTAGAAGTATGTTGACCGTAATTTCAGAAAAAATTGCTGTTTCGAAAGACTAAAAGATATTTTGATTATAAATGACAATTATACTGGAAGAAATCACAAATTTTTTTTCTGCTTAAGTAAATGCACTCTTTCTAACCTACGCTTGACCATTTTTTGGTGAACATTTCTAACCTTAATTGATTTAGTTGCATTTGGTCTGCTACCGGACGACGTCATCCGCAGTAACAGTGCATTACGGTTCCCGAAAGCACCGTATATTGCTGGTAGCAAATGATAAAGTCCTAACACATACCGGGTTATTTTATGAGATACGTGCCGTCTTTTCGCTATGGTCAAAGTCAAAATTATTGCTTTCCTTAGAGCCATTATCGACGACAACATATATTTCATCTAAATGTAATTTGCTTGATCTGGCTGATAAAGATATTTATGTTATTGTCTCTTAAATTTATGGGCAGAAGTGTTCAAGTTATATTTGAGATTGCTACAAGTCCATGATCTTTTAACCGACTTTTAATTTTTTTTCTCGGAAATCTCTCACCTATACTCAAAATTTGATATTGATTTTCTCATTCTATCTGCTTGATAGTACTGTAGAGTAGTGCTTGAACACTTTCTGCGGCTGCAGACCATTGTACTCCCAGTTTCTATGCTTTTTTCGATTAATTAACATTCTCGATGTTTCACATGTGATGATTTGAAATACGTGAAGAGCAGCACTTTTTTTCCATATGTAAATGTAAGATTCCGAAGTATTTCCCAATTTTTTTATTTATTGCTTACAGTAGTCATATACGTACCCTCATAATCTATAATGTTATGAGCATTCCTAGCTGCATCCAGTTTACCTCTACTGATGGATTCAACCGTACAGAATTTGTGCTGGCTAATTTTTTCCAGGCATTGTTTATTTTTCGTTAATGTATCCTTGTTATTTTATCAACTAATACTTGTTGTTGGGTTATAAATTATTTATGAGTTGTGAAATCCAAAAACTTTCACTGCACTGCAAACAATAATCGGAGATTACTTTTTGTACGACAAAAAATTGCTTCACTACTTCCAGTTTTGATGTCAAATATTGGTGTGTTGGAGTTGGCGCCAATGGATTCGGCAAAAGATTTCTTTGTTTGTAGATAAGGAAACTTAGGTTAAAACAAAAGTGACTGCTACTTCTGAAATTCGGAAGGAAATACTATTTCAAAAATTTGCTGTTTGCCTCAGAATATATTCTTAAACTGTATTAAAATGCGAAGCTTGATTTCTTTCAGAAATGCAATGACGGATTTCTTTGATAAAGAAATCCAAATCGGTACAGTTACCGTAAATAAGCTGCAGAGACTTGTGATATAAAAGCCGTGGCAAGTAATAATATAGGAGTCAAATTATAATGTCGGGTACTGTCAGGTGGGCCTGGGTGGTTCAGGCTCATTTTCTTCCATCGTAATCTTCAACATTTTAAGCTGTTGCATCAGAAATTCCTTTTCCATCTTCAGCGTCTGAACTTCACTCAGTGCTTCATCGCGTTCCGACTTTATCTGCGAAACAGTGTTATTAAATACAAAGATTTTTAAATTTAGAAATAGTTTAGTCCCCTAATATAATGAGCCAGGTCCACTTCCCATTTGAAATTAAGAAGTTATTTACGCGGTCATTTGGTACTTCTATTGATCATTAGGCATCAGATACACTGATTTCTTATTAAGGTGCAGTAAGTTTAATTCTGTTACTTTCTAGATCAAAAAGCAAATCCTATTGTTATCATTTTAACAATTTCTAAATCCACAGAAAAGACAGACCACTTCAACTTCCCTTGCATCTTTCTGTGAAACTGTACCACCACTTAGGGATGTTTGTTCTTGAAAACGTTTTAACTCCTCGATCTACAAATCACAAATTAGTCGAAAAAAGCGAAAAAAAAGTGACAAAGCTTGAAATATGAGCAAAACAGCATTATATCACATAATAGGTACTGAAACAGTGAGTAGTGTATTTTGGAGGATATTTTTTACAGGTGAAAATTTTGTTCTGAAAACGGATCCAATTGGTATCCACCCAACAGGAATCCAGATTACGAGACTTGTTTCAATAACCTTATTTCATAGCGATTTGGGATTTGGAAGAAGGAAGCTGTCAAGCATAATACAATCCAATAGTTATGATCTGGCAGATAGTGGACTAAGTTTCAGAGCATTATAAATTTCACGAAACCTCTTCTCTGGCAGCTATACGAGAAGCTTCAAGTTCAGCACATTTAGCTTCCATCATCATTAGTTCAGTTTGCAATTCACTACACCGGTTTTCCAATTTCGCATGCTTCTGTAATATCATTTTTATATCCTTCTCCCCGGAAACATCGAATTCAAATATTTCAAGAAGAGAAATCTCTGTGAATGAAATATCGAAAGGAACACATACTCGAATAACTTTCCCTGCGACCCATCCAAACGCATCCATCGCGAGCTCACATCCAACTGTAAAAATCAATTCCCTCAAAATTTTAAATAAAAACAATCGATAGAATGATTTGTAATCCGAAGAAAAGTTTCGAAATGTTCCGAACCACCAAATTTTTCCGAGAGAAAAATGAAGCACCCACAAACTCATTTCTTCCTTCAGTCTTATGGAACTGCTCCTAAATGTTTTCATTAGTTTGGGAAAAGATGAGTGGAATCAGAAAACGATTTATGCACAGAATCCGCATAATCTTCTACCGACTACATTTACAATTTGTTCATTCCCGTCTCAACTTCTTCGCAAACTATTGAACCGTTGCCAAAGAAATGTCAAACGCATGACTGGAATTCAGAAATGACTTTTTCGTTGTGACAGGGTGTTCCAACACAACCTTATTTGGTACAAATGTAACTAACGTAATGCATACTGGTTGATCGGTGATCGTTGAGACGTGCATATATTCCGGTCGTGCTTGGCACTCTTCATCAAACGTTATTGACGGTGTCTCTGGTGGGGAATTCACTTCTAGCGGCTGAAATAGCCATCACGTTCAGAGAGTTAAACAATACAAACTGTCATTTACTGGAAGGATTCGATTATCCTTCCTCCAATGAAACTCTAAAAAACGATATCACTTCGTTGTCATCGTCCACTTTTACTGTTGTTTTGAGGAAATGAAATCAATCTGTCAACTGTCTTAAGACTTTCGATATACATAATTAGTGGAATTAGTGGTTCTTGAAATGAATGTGTCATCGCATTCAGCAAATTTCAACAGTTCTGAAATTTCAGCACAAAACGGAAAATTAACCATTCGGCTGGCTATTCGTTCTTTTTGTAGTAAATGCATGTGAGCTTTCATGCGCGAATTCTCTGCTTCTACGGCTCGTTTTGAACTTAATAATCTCTTGTTCTCCTCCTGAAATAATTCTCGTAATGTTTTCAGTGTGGGTTCTTTTCAGAAAAAACACTGTAAATTAGAGAGTACAATAAAATGGAGAGAGCAGCGTAAAAAAACGGAATCAATCTGTTGTCTTAAGGCCTTCGATATGTACAATTCCTGTAATCAGTGGTACTTCATTGGTACTTCAAGTCCAGTAGTGGTACACAATCAACCACAGGCTCATAGCTAACTCTTATTTACTGATACTAGCCTTGGCTTCCGTGAGTGCTACCCTCAACGAATGTCCTTCTTCGCGAGCTCGGTTTCGTTCGTTTCGCACCGTACTCCATTTCTGCCGCCATGATGCAGTACATTCCGACCACCAGCGCATCGTCTTCTCCATTTGGGCTGCTCGTTGTCGAGCCTAAAGGTTATAGAACTAGTGGTACTATGGTACCATGATTCAATAACTAAAGAAAAATACATAATTGAGGCGAATTTATCATTCCTGAATATTTTGCTGTACTTACTTGAAACACAAAAGAAGCTTTGATGGATAATTCAAGTTGACGATGATTTGATTGCTTATAATTAACGCATGACAGAATGGGTATATGACTTTAGTGACATTAAGATTAAAAATCTTATTGTAAGATTAAAAAGATCAAAATTATAAGATCGAAAGAAATTTTCAGGAAGTGCTCTTAACAAATTATAACGTTTAACAAAATTGAAATACTTCATTAAGCTCTTGAAGTCGCGCCAATTCGCAAGCATCCCAGTCCGTATGTTGACAACGTCCCCATGTATTGCTTGTTGTAAATGTACGTATTGATTCTAGAAAAAAGACATGGTGCATCTTTCTGATAATAAGGTAAAATCTTATGCTGAAGTTCTAATCATTTGTGTAATTAATAGGCAAATATTTGATGACATACATTAACCAATGCCTATTGAATTTCATTCAATTTGCTTAGCGAAAAATTGGAAATTACGGCGATTTACATTCACATCAGATTTTTGTGTACAATTTTTAACTCTTTTGTGTACTATTTTTGAGTACTATTTCTTATTTTTAGCAGTATAGTTTAACGGATTCACTTGTTTGCCTTCAGAATTCGTCCACATTGATTCTCAAGCTTTACAACTTAAGTCTTAATTTAATATCCAGTAATTAATAAATAAGAAGTGGAGGAGATACAGTTAAATAACGAGACAGAAGGAAGCGAAAAAGTTATTACAATAATATGCGCCATTTAGATAAACCAGGCAGATTTTAATGTCGCACTGTCTCAGTCAAAATGTGGAAACCAGCAGACAGTGTTTCTCTCCTATTGAAATTTTACTGGTATTATTGTCACAAATCGAACTATCAGTCATGGGTATTATGTGTAAATTCTGAATAGTTAAAAGTTAAAGTGTTACACTTCGTCTATCACTTCAAGCGCCCTAGGAAAGAATTTCCCCCTGTCAACTGTGATCGAAAAATTGCATGACATCCATTACATGCATAAAAATTAAGTAAATTTCGTTGACCGCTGCACCCTTTCCAAACATTCATTATAGGACGAATACTGCAATTAGTTAATTGAACGAACTTGAAACATATATAACAAAAGAATTGGAGAAGCGCGAACCCCCAATATCGGAATATCGGTTATATATTGTAGCGTTCATAGATCCTTGATCAGTCATCGTTCCCGAGAAAGAAGTTGAGAGAAAATTCGAGCTTTCAGTCAATCAGCAAGATGTTTAATGCAAAATGATAGGAGTTCCTGACCGAGCAAAATGGGAACACCTGACGCTACGCGCATTTCATCACCTTATGACCTTCCCGTCATAGCAGCAACGATACGAAGCATCAATTCGAGCTTCAGCAAAACATCCGCTCTCATTAATCATCATAAATTTGCACCCAATCATCCATCCAAAATTCCGATTGCCCTGTAAACATTTGAGCTACCCGCGGAGCATTGCTAATTCCTCACTGATACTCTTTTCCCGTGTTCCTAATCTACAAAACCATTGTGCTTGAATTCTTCCCGAGCTACTAACACTAATATTCTTCGTCTTAGTTTAAAGACTTCTTCTTTTACTACTTCTAACAGATTATAACATGCTTATCAAAAGATTCATCTTATCATTTTGTATATATGAGATATACGAAAAGTTTGTTAATGAGCAATTGTCCACTGCATGGTAAGAAACTTTCAATGAGACAATTTTGAAGCATCTGAGATTTTTTCCCAACCAAAATAATGCTTGATAAGGATTTTTACTACTCGTCAGAATAAAATAATGAAAGATTCAACCAAGTTCTAAAAATTTAATTGCGATAACAGTGATATTTATTACCTTATTCTTCTGATTCGTTTGACAACATTGATGAATGAAACTTCAAGGGTTCTATTGCTTCAACAATGTTAATCTTTTGAAGTAAGAATGAAAAGAAGTAGCGAGAAAGTAAAGAATATTATTAAAGTATTTCAAATGATTTTTTTTAATTATATTGTAAGACTTTTACAAAATTGCATTAAGAAAAAGGGAAAGAAATACGATCGGGTCGTGGGAATACCATACTTACTTCACATTTCGATGTTGAAATTACCATCAAAATATTGTACAAAAGTGAGTGAGAGTTTAAGAAAAGGAAAACAAGATCACAGCGTGCTAATTCCTGTTCGAAATGACAGCACGCAGTCCATAATATACACAATAAAGTTGACGAATATTAGCGCCTGCAAGCATGACAATCAACACATCCAAATTCTCAACTTTTTATTCTGATGAACCATTATAGCTACCTAAATTTGCATTATTCTATCATAAATAGACCAAAGATGTAAAGATTGAGAGGTGAAGAGACGTCGTCGATATTCGAAGATATTTCTGATTTAGAAGGCTTGCGGAAAACTTACAGTTGCAATAATCCATTGTAGTCTATGACAAAGTAATCCAATTTTTCCTCTATTAGATGGATAACATGCCGCATAATATGCTTCTATGGCTCCAACGAATAAATAACTGAATGAGCCAAGTAAGCTGATTAGACAATCCTAAAACTGCTACATTTCCACACAACTACAACATATATTTAGAAGGATGAAAATGAAAAAAAAAAGAAAAAAGAACTTTTTAGGAGATTTCATAACAAACGACTCATTGGAAAAATTGCAGGGAATTTGCATGTGCATTATGCAGCCATTTCGCTAATTTTTGCGAGGTCTCGATACGAAAGAAGCAACACAATGCTAATTGCATCATAAATTTCAAACTTTTTCCAAAGAGATTATACAGTTAACTGAGAAAACAGAATGATTTAATACTGCACTGATGTGATTAGCGATGAGAGCAACTAATGAACAGTTATGATTTGAAAGCAATTCAAATGACAGATTAAAAAAGTTGGTGAAAGTTATCATTGATATGAACACCTTCGTATCAGCAGTATGCTTTTTATGACAGGAATGAAACAAATTTGTTTCATATGGACGCGTAGGCATTTCGAGTAATTGCAATCAATTTGTTTTTTCATTTTAAAACTGGGAAAAAAAAATGAAATAACTAACAAATCTTCGCCACAACCCATATCGATAACCGAAGCAAGCACCAAATAACATAATGAGAGATAGTGCTGAGAAAGATGCTGGAATACCGAGTACTAAAACTTGCCATTCGGTTTGTATTATTTTGACAAATGCATAGAGGGACATTTCGCGCATTGGAGCAATTATAAATCCTATTGCAGCAACTCCGAGCAACTAAATCGCTCTTGTAAATAAAAATAATCATTAAATCTGAAAATATTATGTAAAAGAGAATAGCTATTATCACATGATTTTCTTGTTCAATCGTTAAGCGCATTCAACGTAGAGTGGACTGGAAAATAATTCTGAGCCTATCTAACTAATTGACAATGGACAAAAGACTATTACGATCTCATAAGTCAAATGCAATTTGGTTCAGTCCTTTAGTTAAGAGTATCTAAACAAAATACAACATCATTTTTGCCCTACATTGCAGAATACTAAGCAGGAAATCTTTTAAAATTCAACTGGTACTGCTTCAAATCTAATTATCATCACCAAGAGTGCTTCGAGAAATAATTTTTTCTTGCTTTCTTGAGTTATTATCATACACTAATTAGAAATAGATCTGATTCAAAGTGAATGAATTAAAAAGGAAGTTTTCTCCAATTTACCAAATTATCAAAAAAATTGCCAACCAATTCGATCGCCTTAACAGTAGTTTTCATTATAATGGAATATCGTTCGCTATACTTCGTCTTTGTTCTTACTGTATTCATGATACATGGAGGGTAAGTTACATAACTTGGCGTATAATACGGTCGTATTCGTCTCAATGCTGTTGGTTGCATATCCAATTGCACTATAATTAATTTTGATTAGTTTTTTATTTTCATGACATGCACAAGAATTCACCACTTATCCTTATGCTTTTGAAATGGACATGAAATTTGTTTACCTCTGTACAATCCATGACAGTAATGAGGTTGTCGATCGATTGGGTTACCACCAAATTCTGATTCCTGCAATAAAATAATTAACTTTGAAATATTTGAAAAGGTCAACAATTCTAACCTGATATGTTTGTATTCGGCCAAAAAATCTTTTCTTTTTTCGATACATCGGCCATCTTCTAGCATCTTCCCAAGAACCGAAATGGCTTCTAAAGTGGGTTTATTGAAATTTCATACATATTAAAAATCACCACGCAAATACTGGTAATTAAAGATTATGCAAAAAGAAATATTTGAAGTAATCCAATTCCGGTGAAGGAACCTATATTCTAGTGGATAAAGGAAATACGGGTCGACCGCATAACCACGATTTTGTTTGGTGTACATCATCTTGCAGATTTTCGGCAGTATAGCTCGTGTTGGAACAGTTCTAAAAGCAAAAATTAGCACAAAATTTTTGAAAGGTAAGTTAAAACTAAATGATTTTCAAAATATTTCATGCTGTGTTCCGTGTACGTAAAATACAGGGCACTGAAAAATTGCAGCAGCCATTCACAGTAACTTAATTTTTTATGACTGCTCTCGATAAATTAATTCTTTGGAAATTACAATATCAACATTTAATTGTGCCAAGGACAGAGCCTAAAATTTTTTTGATAAGGAATTTAAAAAGGTGAGATTAAATAGTTATTGATTTAGTGGTAACAGAAAAATCCAGAAACCTGGATCGACGATAAAGTGTAGGACTGGTGTTGAGTTGCAGGTAATTTCGGTAAGCTACATTTTGACTCGGATGTGCCCCACCGTAATAGAAATTCATTATGGCAGGATTTAAAAAAAAGAAGTAAAGCTCAAGGAAATTCTAGAACGAGAATTCGTTTTGGGAAAGGATGTAAGGGGAAAGTAAAAAGTATATATATCCGTTCTTGTTTTTTGAATGAGAAACACAAACATTTTTAAGACTATTATCTATTTTTCGAATCATATCCTTTCATTATTAGTGGTCAATAATGAAATCGATATATGTTTTATTCGTACATCGGTGAGTGAATTGAATTTCTTTATTTATAGTTTCACAAGTCTTTGAAATTTTGCACAAAATATTTACCATTGTTGGGATTAATGGAGTGGGGGACATAAGTGGAATAATTAGGAAGTGTGGCAGGAACGGAAGCAGTAGTGGCAGTAGTATTTGATTGAACATAGGTAAGATTATTGCACATCGTTGAGGTTAGGTCCAATAGTAGTAGGATGATATGGTAGTAATAGGGATGCTGATGGTGGTGTCACTAGCGTTCTAGTTAGATATGCAAATAAGTGATCCTGCATTGAATATGTTTGAAAAACTTAACAGTTGATAGAGTTAAAGATATAGTAGAGACCTTCAATTACAACCAATAAAACAGTTAAACAATTTAGAAGGCATGTTCTAAAATGTAAACAATAAACACCGATGCGATGATGTCATAACATAATTTTTTTTTATTAGTTCCAACGATAGTTCAGCGTTTAAATTGACATTTGCCTGTCCCTTCATTTTCCTAGGGGAAAGAATCATTGGAGTTCCAGGTACAAATTATTTTAAAGAGAGGATAGATCAGTAGGAAATTTGCTTTCAAGTTACACATACATAAACAATAAACAGAGGATTATAATTTCACACTTATTAACATGAATCACTAACAAACTGGATGATTCTAAATGGATCGACAAACTTTTGGTAAAATTTGCAAAAAATGTCAATTCCAAAAACATATAGAAAGTCTGGTCTAGAGAGACAGAAAAGTTTAAAAATGAATCCGAGAGAACATTTTCAAATCCACCAATAAAAATACAATAAAGAACGGGACTGTCTCTTGAGTAAACTAGAATAAAAATTCCAGTTTTCAGTTCAAGTTATGATGCTTATCATTTAGAGTAAATTGATAGCGAAAGCTTCAGGCATTTTGAGCAGGAAAAAGTTTCCAAAAGAAAAGAAAAAAAAATTGGGATAGGGTAGTAAAAACATTTGCGAGAGAGCAACCTGCAATATTTCAGTGAGTAAGATATCACTAAAGATTTTTTTGGTTTTTTAACTTTAGATTTTTTAGGCATTTTAGAGAGCTCAAATTATATTTTTGGATTGAGTTTAGAGGGTTTCCCTTTTAATTAAATACTTAAGTAATAATATACTTCTATAGAGATGAGATGAACGAGTTTCTCAATGCAATAAAATTTGGAATTATGAACTACAATAATAGCATGTATAATACAGAAGAAACTACGGCAAAATACAGTAGAATACGGTAAGATAAGTTAGAATAACTATGGTATCTACAAACTATATCACTTTTCATTTGTACATGCATGAAAATAGCAAACATAAATGAAATATTGTACAATAGGAGGAAAAAAAGGAGAAAGGAATTATGGTAATCAATGACAAGCAATCAGACGACAAATTTGTGACCATTTCCAATAGATGGCAGTATCAAAATTAAAAAGGGACTGGATTAACAAAGCCAAGCAACCAATGTAGAAACCACTTCCAACACTACCATCAATATTTGTTGTACATCTATTTATATTCCAACATTTGTTGATCGTCTAACAACAACAGATTTACAATATCAATTACTTGTCCATTGCAACAGGTCTATTATATTTAGAACGTAAAAGGTAAGAAAGATCATTTCAAAATTAATCAATCAGTCTATCACTATTATCATATATTCCCCTTCTCGACTCCTACTAGTTCTTTATAAAGTGAAAAATAATAACATCGCTTCACGATGTGCTAATTTACAGGCTTATTAAACAAAAGTAATGAAGAGCAATGTGATCAAAGGAAGACAATGACAGCGGAATGCATTACCGACAGTTTGTTAACTCATAATAGTTTATCTGTAGAATTATCCCGATGATCAAATTGCTGTAATTGTTCGAAAAAATGACAAAATTGATTTTCCATAAAAAGTTGGACGAAAAGTTTATAGCTGTCAAGCATATCTAAGAGGAATTATTATTTTTCGGCATATTCACTTAATAACTCGTTTTGATAATGGTGTTGATTTTGATTTCAATGCAGAGAAGAAGTCAGGAATAATCGAAGGAAGTAAGATAGCCGCTACAAGAATTGAATATAATATGTCATTTTAAATGCGTTGAATCGAAGTATAGCAATTTTCTTTGAATACAAATTTTAATAATGATTATAATAAGAAATCATTTTCCTTTATTTCTTTGCCAACAAATTACCAAAACTGAGCAGCTTTGCAAGAGTGTCAGCTAAGAATTTATATGATTGCTTTGTCGACTGGTAATGTTAACTTAAAATAACTGCTCTTAATTTCATTCCACTTCCTCATATTTTATCGAAAAACCGTATCCAAATAAAATTTTCGATATTCAGGGAGAAAAAAATAAAAAATTTGAATTAAACAGAACTGTTTGAAGAAGTTTTGAAAGTCATGTCGTCGCACCGGAAGAAAAAAGGTTTATAAGAAACCCTATTCATTACGAAGACCGGAAACACGAAAAAAGTGACAAAAAAAAAAGAAAAAAGGTGAAACACGAAAATGATAACGAAAAAAGTGACATTGCGAAGGTCAAATTCCTTGTTAATTCACACACAGAAAGTTTAACGAATGCCGATTTGATTTTGATACTTTCAGGTTATTGAATATTCGCAAAAGTTGAAATTTCATAATTTCAGGTTATGCAATTCCATCTTCTCGCATTTAAATTCCATCTTCGTTCGAATTAATTTTTTTTTTTGATTTCCAAAAATGAAGACCTAGCAAGAGCTAATTGTTGTAAGTGCAAAACTAATTTCAATAGAGGCTTTTCCTGAAGAGCTCTAAGAACTACTCCCTCCGATCAGAAGAATTTCATGTTTACCTAAGTTTTTCTTCCATTCGTTTTATTTATATCAAAGTACACCGTCCAGCATAAAAATACGAGCAGTTAAAGTTCAATTTTTAAGTTGAAATATATGGAAATGGAATGTTTGTACACAAGGATAATTTCAAAGACTCCGCACTGGTTATGGAATACTGAGGTACTTTAAAAAAAATATGATAATAGCGATTAATTTAGTTTAAGCGATGGCTGATTAGCTATCAAACTTATGAATGTAAGCTTAGTCATCGATAAACAACAGTGTTTCTTTGGCCTCTTTGAAATTTCCAAAAATATATCCCACTGTTAATGAAGAGGAATTGTTGATAGTTAATGATGGTAAATCAATAGACAAAAGAAAAAGTGCTGAGTGGACTTTTAGAATGTGTGATAGTGCAGTTATTGCAGAAACAGAATATATAATTTGAAATAATGGATGACTAAAGTTATCGCTGTTCAATTTGCATAAATGTGAGAGGGGAAAGGATACCTATGTTAAGGTGAAAGATACCCTTGACAATCAAACGATTTTCACAGCATCATTTTCAAGTGACGGGAATTTATGTTCGATAATAAAGGTTATCCTGTGGGAGATGGGGAAAGAAAGGTGGAAAAGGGGACAAGAGGTGGGGATGGGGATGATGGAAGATAACAGTTTGTTATAGTAAAAGGAGAAATAACTCTTACAGACCTGATTCATGCTGTAATTTTTTTGATTGATTGACGAGGAATTTAATAACTAGTTTTCACTGAGCTGTTAATAATAAATAACACTTCTGTTATCTCAAATCTTAATTAACTTACCAAAAGAAGTAAATAGAAGCGCGAATGTAAGCAACATAATCAAAAAGTGTTTGCCTTCTGCACAACTTTTACAAATTAAAGCAGTCCTTTGTAATTGGCTTAAATTGCAAGGATGAACCTGAAGCTAGCTTTCATGAACAAGCTGTTAGTCTGCTCCTCAAAAGTTTTCCATCAATTATTAAAAAAAAATATTTGAACTACTAGCTTCAGCTATATTCTCCTGGTAATCAAGCATAAGTGCATCATCATACCCCAAAATCTCAGAAGAGCGCTTATGCAAAAGCTTGTTCATCATACTAGCGCCAGTAGTTATCACAATGCTTATTGTTGATAGTTCATCTCTTCAATCCTTATGTTCTCAACTGTTCGAGACTGCAAGAAAATATCGACTGAATTAAAATTTAATGAAACATGTGAAAAAAGAAGAAATAAATGTCCTAGCTAAGAGCTATTAAGAATTAATAAGAGAACCTGCTAAAGTTCCGGAGTATCTGGAAAGCACGGGATTTTGTGAGAATAAAGATTTTTACTCACAGACCAGAATTTCTGATTTGAGAAAGGAATTTCATATGAAGTGAAAATGCAGCACTGGTCTGAATTAATTAGCGATTGTTAATATTTGCAGATCACTTCCCTTTATTTTTAATGGGAAAAGCTATTGGACATGTAAATTTTGTGGTACAAATGTGCAACACTAATTCCTTATCTGAAGGAGGAATAAAAGGCTGCATTACGGCACTTTTTCCAATAATGCATGCATTCTGCATCGCTACATTCGTGATACAGTGACTTATGTGACTTAACCAGCTTACGTAAACCACGTGACTTACGGAACTTACAACTTACAGTGCATGCAATATAGTGAGTAACCTAGGTCAACTGTACAGAGGAGGATGGATTCCAGATAATGCTGTATATGATATGACTGGATCGATATGAGTATTTATCACCGTTTTTACCAACTATTTGGTGAGATAACATTTATTACATGCATTTGATAGATGGAGCTAATGCATAAGGTTTCCGTTCTCAACAATATCTAATTCCGGAAACAAACAATTGCAGTACGTCTCATAGTGGCATTTTTGAAGCCTTTTTGTATCAGTTGAAATTAATTCATTGTCATGTGATTTTTTCTACTTAAGAAAGTACAGCTAAAGCCATTAAAATCGTTCAGCCGTTCAGTTTCATTTTAAGTATTGATGATTAATCAATTTATAAAAAGATTTGGTAACTAAGTGATAGTACCGCGTTCAATAAGACCAAATCAGAAGATAAGATATAGCATGATTTTTGAAGTTGCTTGTAATAAAAGGTCATCTTCAAAAATATGACCCCATTTGAATCGTTAACCAAATAGATGCCTTTAATACGCCTATTCAAACGTAGCATATTGAATCATAAAATAATATTTTCAATAAGTAATTAAATATAAATAAATGATATTTTATTGACATAAGTATGCATTTCTGTGAATGAGAAATAAGGCATCAACCATTGAAAATAAGCTTATCCATCTTTTGCAGCAAAAATCAATATGAGAGTTGGCATTGTTCTCCGAGGGATGCTGTAATAACATTAATATAGGATGGCAGTAGCTGTCGTAAAATGACAACAGTAATGAAATATTATTAGGAGACAGATTATCCGAAAGGGAATTTATTTATCAGAATATTCTAGATTGCTGGATAACATTATGTTACCTCTTCCATTTTTCAAACATATTTTCTCTACTCTGTAACATAAATTTTACATATTTATATCAGATGGGATGGGGAAGGCATAGAATAATTAGCAGTGTGTATAAATAACCTTCCATCATTCTGGAACTAATCATTGTTGCGTCACATCTAAAAAACAAGGGAGAAAAATTCGTAAAGCAGTGCCGATAATTGCTGGGCAGATTAAAAAGGGAACAATAATTGGTTCTTTTCTGGTATAAGGTCACATCATGAGAAATTAGAAATGTATATAAATAACATGGTGACAAAAGATACAACGATATCGCATTAAATAAGATTTCATACCAATCAGGTCGTGTCAGTAAAACTCGGGAATTTTTGGGACATTTACTGTACCATGTTTTGTAAAGCATATTTCTTTTCACCGTAAAATAATGTGATCATTATCGAAAGTTTAACGAGAAGTGAGTCAGAAAATTCTAAAAAAGAGTGATAATATTTATTATGAGGTAATTCTTATTTATATTCTTCTGATTCTCTCCGAATCAATGAACATTGTTTAGTTTTTGAAGCTATGAGACTTTTGAAACTATAAAAGAAAAAGAAAATGAAACCACTATGAATGAACTAAAGAGCAAACATCAGCAAAACGGAATTTAAAAAATTGAACTGAAGTTTTTGAAACTCACATCCAAATCGACATCTGATCGATAATAACTAGTTCGATCACGAAAAACAGCAGCGGAATGTTCCGCACGTAGTTATGCCCCATTTTCTAATATCACCTCACAAAAGCTAAACTCAAAAATCTAGTCTCGACACTTTGGATCTCGTTAACATAAAGCGTCAAGGATCGAACTTATTTGAAGATCCAATATTATGCATAAAAAGTTGGTGAACGAACCACAGATAACAATAGCAGTAGTAAAAGTTGCAGTGATTGTAATGGCAGCAGGAAGATTACACAATAATGGCGAAATCATAATTTTGAGGACAAAGCCGCGTAGGGCACTCACAGCGATAAAATTAATGTTTCTTACTCTTCGTACTTGCTGGGATTATTAAAATTTACACCAAAAAATCATTTCATGTCTCTGTAATTGAATTGCGAGGTCGAAAACGAAGTATTTGAAGGTCATTGACGTGTAGCGGTTGACCTTTGAGTTTTAATTGTAGTGACAAATGATTAAAACTCAAGATTTAACTGATTCTAGTTCATATTAAAAGTCATGAATCCATGACCCATCCATAATTATTATCATTACAATTATAATTTTTGAATTTCATATTCGATAGGCTATTCTAAATATACAAACAATTTGTTAAAGTAATAAATGGGTTAGTAATGAGAAGAAAAATGTCCATGATGTGGAGACTTTATAGTTCAAACTTCCAATTTACGAAATTAAATAAAAATCCTTAATTAGGAAAATTTACAAATAGATGTGAAATAAAATTTTATTGAATTAGTCTAATAAAAAAAAGTAGGAAAAAAACATTTTAAAAAGAGGTTGTTGTCCAGGAGGATGTTTTTCAATCTTATTAATGTCAATAACGAAATTGGATGGCGAGAAGAGAAATTTTCGTGGACGAATGCGCATCTCAAACCACAATGTATTCATTTTTGTATAGAAATCGAAAAATAATTAGAAGCAAATTATCGCTGATCTCTCTTACAATAGTTTTATGAGAATAAATGAACAAATAGACATCATTGGTTTGCTACGATTTCATTAGGATTTAATGACAGCCATTTAAGATTTAGTCTAATATTTGTGTAATAGAACTGAGAATAAAATTTAATCGGCATAAACTTTATGAATTGGAAATTGAATTAATAACTGAAAAAACTTTTGAAAGACAGCTAAGGATCACTTATCTTTAAAGTTAGCGCGAAGTGAGAAACACTTTCGAAATACTTTCGTTTCCACTTACAGCTATTGAATGATAGCAATGTACTAACTTAAAGAGCATTCTTTCACTGCAAATATTTCATTTCTTTAGTATATCTTACCAAAATTTCCAAAAAAAAAATACACATTTAACTTTTTTGTAAATAAAAGATTTTAAAATTTCTGTTCATTTCTTTCCTCCTCTCTTCGTCCTCCCTGATATTACTTCCGAAATTCCTGTATATCTTCTCTGCCTTGATAATAGATGCTTAGTGTCTCTAGAAGATGAAATAATTTACTGCGAATGTCATTATTTATAACAATAATTGCTGTTATTGTAGTATTGACAACAAATGTTACTGCTTTTCCTCTGAGAATTGCAAAGCAATTTAATGTCTCCAAGTTAAAACATTCCTATCATTCAGTATCAGTAAGCGAAAACGGAAGTATTTCGTGTCTCAAAACTTTTCCACTTCGCGCTGAAGATAGGGGGAAAAAGCTTGACTCCTTGGCTCCTTCCAATGATTGTTATCATCATCCAGTATCAAACTTAAAAAATGGTCTGGGCTGTAGATTACTCTCAAATCAGGCTAGTGAAAACCTGAGCTCTTGGCTTAATGTATTTTACCAAAATTTGGGAAAGTTAGAGCTCTTGGCTCTTAGCATAGTTGTTAAAATACATTACTATTAAGCGTGGCTTAATGGTGATGTATTTTAGCTTCGTACAGGCGAAAACACGAAACTCAACACTTGTATGTTGGCCAGTAAATCATCATATAAAATATGCCAAGAGTTCAGAATCCCGTCTGTGGACAAACATAGTTTTGAGCACTATTATGTTCCGGAGGATAGGACCATTAGGAAGATTTTCAACGATAGATTAAAGATGAATCGATATTGCTTGTTGAGGCTCAAGAATTGTTGATTTCCTGGGAATTTTTTCATCGTTTTTTTGCTATTACTGCTGGTACTATTAAAATTGGAAAGAAAACAAGCATAAAAGTTTTTCCGATTTGTCGAAGACAATCTTAAAAATGGTGGAATTTAAAGAGCAAAGCTGCTCAATTAAGCCTAAAATTCAGCCATCTACTTTACTAATTTCCGTAATTTTGTACTTCTTTGTATGAAGGACATCGTTATTTCCCCAATATGCTGTTCACACATATGTAGAATTTTACAATATTTCATTTTCGTTTTCGACGTCAAATGGCTGACCTCTGATTTACACAGAACATAAGATAGAATTTCATTTCAAAATAAATAGTTGTTGGATAGAGATAAGGGTGCCAGCAGTCCATTTAACAGTAATACGGAAAAAATGTAATAGTTGCTGGTATGGAAGAACTGAAACGAACTATACCAGCATCTTTCCTGTTTACATTACGGTGACAGGTTGTGCTTTTAATAAATTGAAACAGTTTTTGAATAAAAGCAAGAAAGGAAAAAAGCAATGTTTCGATTACTGATGATTGGACAACTTGTCACGAGTCGATGTGACAAACAGCTTTTCTATTATTCTCATTAGATTTGTTGGAAGAATATCCAAAATGTACTGATTGAAACCATCAGAAATTCGTTTTCTTCTTCTACCATTGGGAATTGCATAGAGTTTTTATATGCTGGAAGCAACAGTTCTAATCTTTTACAAATTCCTAAACTAAAAAAAGAAAGACACGAAAAAATAAGTCACATACAATGTATAGTTTAACTTTCATTCAATTCTCGATTCGGATGAAATGATTGCAATAATACAATAATTCAATATATTGTATGTCGTTATCACTGTAATTCAGTATATTATTATCAATGTGAAGTGTTTTGTTGGTATTCTTAATTATCTTTCAAGGTGAATTCAAACTTTTCTGTCATCAAATAAATGAAATAAATAAAAGTGATCGGGAACTCTTTGTTTGTCTCTTCGATACCAACTAGTAGTTCTTAGAATGAATTTGAATAGCGAGATTTCAAGATTGAAATCCGAAACATTTCATGGAATGTCAAAGTTCCTTGTCTTCTTATTATGTAGAAAAACCTGTAGAAAAGTTGTTCGTCTAAATCTGTATCTCATCTTGTCGCAAGAAAGGTAAATAGCATATATTTTGACGAAAAAAAAATTTAATTTTTTTAACAAACAGGAGATTTTTTTTGTGAAAATTCTTTTTGTAAACAAAAAATATTGGTGACAAATAGTTTAAACTATTTTTCAACTGCTAAAATTACTCGTCATGACGTCAATCGTATTCGATAAAATTTGTTCATTGGTTTTCAATGACCACGCGCGAGAATCGCGTACACTTGCGCTTCATTAGCGCAAATTTTTGGAACTTCTCCCATCTTTCATTGTTTTTTCATTTTTTCTTATAGATTCAGTCCTTCAATTAATTTTCACACATTTTCCAAATTTAGGACAGAAATGACCCGGTTTTTTGAAATTTGCATGAAACATATAAATACATCTGTGCGTGTCTGTATGTCCGTCTATGTGGGCGTAGATATTTGTCCATGTCTGTGTTATGTGTCGTATTTAAAAAAACAGGAAGAGCCGATAAATCATGTGTTTTTATGTTTGCCTTTTGGAAATAAAGCTTGAAAGGTTGATAATAGTATTGAATTCAATTAGTCGATTTTTCAACTCGCACATTTTATCCAAGAAGATGACATCCTAAAATTGAAACTACTTGGTGTATTTGTCGGCTCAAAAAAAGGATTTAAATATCTGTATAGAACAATGATTTAAATCGGATGTATCGGATGAATAGACCTATCTGAGGATAAGATATTGCCACACATGTTACATTTATGTTCATTGTCAACGTGTCATCAATGAATCGGTCACTTCAGTGAATCTTTAATCCGTGTTGGAGAGGATCGAGTAATCCTTATTTATTATTGTAATATATATATATATATATATATATATATATATATATATATATATATATATATATATATATATATATATATATATATATAT